CAGCCTGTCAAAATTCAGTGGTGTTTCACCGTGATCGTACTGGTGGTTGGTGATGAGTTGCTGGAAACTGGTAACTTAAACATCAAGGCCCTTTGGTAGTCTCTCCACACACTACTTCTCCCAGAACACAACATATTCATTCCACGCAGCAGCTACACCAACTACCTGTTGCTCTGAAATGTTCGCTCAGTTCCACGCTTGGTTTGGCCCACTAGTGGGTGTATACACATGGCATTTCTGGTGACAATGTAGCCATTCCGACGATTTTGAAGACCCATTCTGATACATACTTCTCTGAGTGGGGCTGTCCCCTGTCCTGGGTCATTCACCTGTTTCTCTCAATTGAATACAACTTCCAGGGGAGTAATCCAGCATTTCCTGCACTATATTTCTGTACAGCCGGATAGAAATGAGAGCAAAACACAACCCAAGAGATTGTTTAGGTTGTAGTGATTGGAACATTATTTATCACTTCTTTCATTGTGCAAATATTAAATACTACAGGACTTTGAAAGCAACTTTTAATTGAAACTATGGATCATTTCTTGTCATACAAAGACACTGCATTCAATCATCATTCTCAGTCTTTTTTTTCATAGCCTTCACTCTAAGCTGCGAAGATTATTTCGAGTAAAACAGTGGTTCTGGTCTGTGGAGCATAGTGATAACACATGGCTGAACTGTTTTTGTTGAGTAATTAACTGGCTTTTTGCAGGTGCAATTCTGGATTATTAATAGGCCATGTACTATTTATGTTGGTTCACACAGTGGAACTGAATTATCCAGTCATTCATGACCACTCCATAATCATCTACATAACAAAATGACAATTCTCTGCAAATGATCCTTCTCCACCTACCCTCGAGTTAAACAATCTAATGATGGTTGCTGTCAGAGAATCATAGAGCTGTACAGTACAAAAACAAATCCTTCAGTCCAACTCATCCATGTCAAGCAGATATCCAAAATTACTCTAGTCCCATTTGCCAGCATTTGGCCCATATCCTTCTAAACCCTTCCTTTTCATGTACCCATCCAGATGCCTTTTAAATGTTGTAATTGTACCCACCTCCAGCACCACCTCTGGCAGTTAATTCCATACACGCACCAGCCTCTGCGTGAAAAAGCTGCCCCTTAGGTCCCTTTTAAATCTTTCATGTTTCACCCTCGCAGATCAGGAGAGTTTTGGAATTACTGAATCGTCAGCTGCCAACATGAGCAATAGAATGGAACTGTGCAGTTGTGGATTAGAAAGTGGAAAGTTGACTTGGATTCCTTTCATGCTACCTAGCACTTCTAGCTGACATTAAAGCTGTTTTACTATTGGGCAAGGACAACATTGGGTTTTGATGTGACTCTGTATAACCTGCTAACACTGAGGCTGTAATCTGCCAATATGTGCCATTGTCCTGCTTTGTAATGTTGAACAATTATTTATTTTTTTCCCCTTTCATTACAGCTTGAAGCTGAAGCTTTACTGTTCCCCAGTCACAAAGGAAATTCTGCTAACAAGCAGAAAGTACAAGTTCTGGGAGAACTATATTGTAAGTTCCATATTTTAAATCAATTGTGCCTCCAGTTTCTTCAACTCCTTTGTTAAATGTTGGTCACTGACAGTCCTTGCCCAAAGGCTGTTCTTTGTATCATATAACGCTCTGGTAAGTTATTTGCTTAAAGTGTCTGTCGTCATTAATTTCTGCCTTCATTTCAGGTCACGACCAGATGAGGGTAGGTGATCGGTTCCTGTCTTTTTAACCCTTATTTCAGTTAGTCACAGGAAATAGCATTTTTCTTTAGCATCAATAAAAGATGTAGTTAGTTCAAAATGAAGGAGCCAGTTGTAAGATTTATTTGGGAGACAGGGTAATTTTATTATCTAATAATTCTGAGAAAAAATAATAATGCATGACATCAAATACACACAGACACAGGTAATAAATTTAAAAAGGAATAATGACTGGTATAGGCAGAATAAATACAACAGTTAATCATTATTAGAGTCCTGATGGTGTTAATTTTTTAACTTGGGACCACGGTTGTCTCATTGTTGATGAATATCCTTGAAATAACTCCATGAAGCCCTGTATCCTGCCTCTAAGTCACCCTTTATTTACACATGTATAGTACATGACATTGACACAACTAGCTGAGACCTGGCTCCTGGAGTGAGCAGAACCCCTGATATTCCTGTTTACATCTGTGAACCAGGGCTCCCTGATTGTGTCTGTTAACCTAGTCCAGTCAGGGAACTCATATTGTATGAGGTCCACCTGGCTGACTATTCCAATCATTGCAATCCTCAGCAGTGGTGGACTTTATAGGTATCTTTGTGTTCTCAGTCAATGGTTGTTTCCCTAGCTTGTTTTCTCACTGGGCCTTGTCTTCCTGGAATGAGGAGAGATGGCTGAAAGAAACAGTCTTTGTCAGTACTGAATACCCCTGTGAGATGCCCTGAAACAGTATAACAAGCTTTGTATATTTTTATTATTCATTCATCGGATGAGAACATCACTGGCTAGGCCATCATTTATTGCCCATCCTGAATTGTTAAGAATTATAGTTTAAAACATAGTTTAAAAATCTACCATGTTGCTGTGGGTCTGGAGTCACATGTAGGCCAGACCAGATAAGGATGACAGTTCCTTTCCCAAAAGGACATTAGTGAACCAGATGGGTTTTTCTGACGATCGACAATGGATCCATGGTCATCATTAGACTCTTAATTCCAGATTTTTATTGAATTCAAATTCCACCATCTACTGTGGCGGGATTCGAACCAGGTCCCCAGGACATTACCTGGATTTCTGGATTAACAGTCCAGCAATGATGCCACTAGGCTGTCACCTCCTTAAAATATATTTAAAATCAGGTAACAATGAGTCATAAATTCTAAGGAACAGAGATATATATGTGTGTTCTGGATTGAGCTAAGATGCAGTTGGCATTACTTAAGGGAAATAAGTTCAGTAAATATTTGTGTTTTCACAGATTGCTGTTGAAGTTGAAACTCCAACACAAATTTCCTTGGTTGATGAGGCAACTGGTGAGGTAAATGCAAGGAGTGTTTACTTCTCTGTCTCTCTCTGGCTGAATGTCTTTTCTCGCTCCACCACCGCTCCCCCCCCCCCCCCCCCTCTCTCTCTCTCTCTCTCTCTCTCTCTCTGTCTCCCTCTCTGTCTGGCTCTCTCTCCCTCTCCGTCTTGAGCTCTGTCTCTGATCACTTCTTGATAGATCACATCCATGATCTTGGAAAGTGCCGTCTTAATGTTGATGAACAGGAAGTCGGAATACTTTTCCTTTCCTTCTCCCCTCCAACCCAGAGCCCACACAGTTTTCTGTGTGTCTGTGTTATAGCACTCTGACTCTATATGGCTCACAAACATAATCACTTTTCTCCCCAGTGATCTGACTGTAATAATATTACAAACTCTAAGCTTTCAAATCTGCTGGGGCCCAAGTACTCTGTAACTGAGAGAGGTTTTAATTTGTGTTTTGTTTTTTAATTTGTCTTGTGTGGAGATCTCAAGCAGCACATCTTGTGATCATTGACAATGGGGATGTCAGATGTATCTGTTATCCCACCACCCTGCCATCTGAGTTGCCATGTAATTGGTTGTTGATGTTCTAAAGAAAAGGATTTTTATTCTTCCAGAGTAAATGAAAACTTTACAGCTATGCATTGTAACAGAAGTTTTGATTTTAAACAGTTTAGTTCATTCTGCACAGTAAACGGAAACCAGGGCTTTTGAGACACCTGTTTGCTCAGATGCTGTAATAGCTTACCTTCCATAAGTGCTCTGCCCAAAGGTACATGTGACCCACATCACCACGATTGACGTCATGGGTCGGGCAAGGAGGTGGTTCCGTATCCACCATTGTCAGCATGGGGAAATCGAACCATGTGCTATTGGCACCAATCTACCAGCCTTGCAACCAACTGAGCCAACCAGCACCCCTCTCACCAAAAGGGGGTCAGGTTGATACGGCAATGCACACTTTTACATACGTGCTCTAGTCTGAAGCTACAGATAATGGTGGTAGAAGGTCCAACTGAGGCATTCAAGGGGACATTGGATGAGTGTTTGGACAAAAATAGTGTGCAGTTGTATATGGAGAAAGCAGAAGATTGACACTTAGCGGTGATGCCCATTGTAAGAGCTAGTGCAGGCACAATGGACTGAATGGTCTGATTCTGTGAATTTCTTGCCATTATGTGGCTGACTAGGAGTCTCTTCTGCTGTTACTGCCTGCTATTTGTGTATGTGTCTGTGTTTAAGGGTACAGGGAGAAATCTAGAACAGGGGACTGAGGTGGATCATCAGTCGTGATCATATTGAATGGTGAAACAGGCTTGAAGGGCTGAATGGCCTTTTCCTCCTATGTTTCTATCTGTATGAGCACACCTGTGTGTTGGAAGGGTTTGCGGTGGTATGTTTCCTTGGTCATCAAGTCCTGGAGTTGGACTTGAACCTGGAGCTTTTGGTTCAGAGGCAGGGACACTACCCCCACACCACGAAACCTGATTTTATACAGAATGTACAGCACGGTTTATTAATCAACAGCTTCAATATAAACCTAATTCTTTTAAACTGCATGTATTTCCAAAGAGCTTTTTTTTTCCTTTAAAAATAGAAAGAAGATATCTTAGTTACGCTTCTACCTGCTGGACACTGCCCTGGATCAGTCATGTATGTATTACTATCTTTATTTTTATACAGTGGTTTAATTAACAGGCCTTTGGGATTGATAGACATAAGAGAGAAAATAATTATCTTTGCAAATTTATGCATGTTCATGTGAACAGCAATAGGACTTAAAAATTGGAAACTGGTTGTGACTAGCCATCTGTAAAAGAAATATTGTTAACTGGTCAGAAGGAGGCTTTCCCAAAAGCAAGTAATGAGGAATTACATTAGAATGTAATTACAACATGAACAGGAAGGGTTTAGAGGGATATGGGCCAATTAGGGGGCAAACACTCCGGTGGTTGGAGTCATACCTGACACAGAGGAAGATGGTCGTGGTTGTGGGAGGTCAATCATCTCAGCTGCAGGAGTTCCTCAGGGTAGTGTCCTAGGCCCAACCATCTTCAGCTGCTTTATCAATGACCTTCCGTCCATCATAAGGTGGGGATGTTCGCCGATGATTGCACAATGTTCAGCACCATTCATGACTCCTCAGATACTGAAGCAGTCCATGTTCAAATGCAACAAGATCTGGACAATATCCAGGCTTGGGCTGACAAGTGGCAAGTGACATTCATGCCACACAAATGCCAGGCTATGACCATCACCAACAAAAGATAATCTAACCACCACCCCTTGACATTCAGTGGTGTTACCATCACTGAATCCCCTACTATCAGCATCCTGGCATCCTGGGGGTTGTCACTGACCAGAAACTTAACTGGACTCACCACATTAACAGAGTGGCTACAAGAGCAGGCCAGAAACTGGGAATACTGCAGCGAGTAACTCACCTCCTGACTCCCCAAAGACTGTCCACCATCTACAAGGCACAAGTCAGGAGTGTGATGGAATACTCCCCAATTGCCTGGATGAGTGCAGCCCCAACACCACTCAAGAAGCTTGACACCATCCAGGACAAAGCAGCCCGCTTGACTGGCACTACATCCACAAACATTCACTCCCTCCACCACCGACGCTCAGTAGCAGCAGTGTGCACTATCTACAAGATGCACGGCAGAAATTCACCAAAGATCCTCAGACAGCACCTTCCAAACCCACGACCCCTTCCATCTAGAAGGACAAGGGCAGCAGATATATGGGAACGCCATTACCTCCAAGTTCCTCTCCAAGCCACTCACCGTCCTGACTTGGAAATATATCACCATTCCTTCACTGTCGCTGGGTCAAAAACCTGGAATTCCCTCCCTAATAGCATTGTGGGCCTACCTACAGCAGGAGGACCACAGCAGTTCAAAAAGACAGCTCACCACCACCTTCTCACGGCAACTAGGGATGGGCAAGAAATGCTGGCCAGCCAGTGACCCCCACATCCCACAAATGAATAAAAAAAAGGGACTAGATTAATTTAGGATATCCAGTTGGCATGGACAAGTTGGACTGAAGGGTCTGTTTCTGTGCCATACATCTCTGACTCGGCCGTTGGCACCAACAAGTCTACGCTATCGTTCCGAAAAGGATCCCACCCACACCCATCCCCTTACCATATCCCTATAACCCTGCATTTCCCTTGACTAACCCACCTAGCCTGCACATTCCTGGACACTATGTGTAATATAACATGGCCAATCCACCAAACCTACACATCTTTGGACTGTGGGAGGAAACTGGAGCGCCTGGAGGAAACCCACGCAGAAATGGGGAGAATGTGCAAACTCCACAGACAGTCATCCGAGGGTGGAATCAAACCCAGGATCCTGGCACTGTGAGGCAGCAGTGCTAACCACTGTGCCACCCCGCTGTCCCTAATAGATAGCATAGATGTCATTGGCCAAAAGGCCTCCTTTGATACAGAGGTATCTCTGATTCTAAGCAGTTTGCTGAAGCATTATGCACCAGTGGGTTAATTTGGATCAGCCTTTGCGATGTAATGGTGGTGAGAACACAGACTCCACCCAGAAGGCTCATTGAACAGAGACTGTGTCTGCAGGAATTGCGAAAGAGATCTTTGTTTCCTCCCAGCTTTCTGTTATAAATGATTTTATCCCAGTTGGATTTAGTGAGATTTTGTGCATCCTTGTCGCTTTTTGACAGTTGCTACATAAGCCCATATGCCTTGGCATGCGAGCTGTTCTGTGTTTGAATGTTGAACTCACTCTTGCATGTCCAGTTTGGGAAAGTCTGACTCCACGTGTCCTGCATTCCTCTCCAATTGCTCAGTCCAGACCTTAAAATAAAGCAAAGAGATTTTATCAGAGAGTTCTTCATGTAACTTTTGTCAGATTTTGTATGGAGAATGTGCAATGTTAAAATATATATAACAATATTTTACTTAAATTAATATTTGTAACTTTTCTGAACTGTATTTACTTAAATGGTAATATTGAGCGAGCTGTCCTCCCTCTTTCAGGTTCCTGTTTGAAGGTAGAGGTGGCACAGTACTGTATACAGGAGATTTCAGACTTGCCAAAGGTGAAGTCACTCGGATGGAGTTATTGCATTCAGGTGGCAGGTAAAACTGATTTTAATTGTTGTCAAATTGTATTATTAAACTGCATCTCACAGCCATTCTGCAGTATACCTTTAAAAGATTTGCTTATGATGCCCACACTGTCAGTATATGACATGACAGTATTAAGGTTTCAGCCCCCAACTTATGCAGTGGTACTTGAAGCATGATGTGCTGGTGGAAGTGTGTCATTGTTTGTAACTGGATAGTTTAGTATTAGCCCAGACACTGAGGTGCCTGTAACTGTAATATATGTAGATACCAGGAATTACAATAAATGTCTATTGGATCTTTCAGTACTAGTTCTTTTATATTGGGAGTTAACCTAAGTGTTGCCTCAACAGACGCAAACACTCAGCCAGAGGCAAAGCCCAAAGCACAGTAGCAGATTACTTACCGTGAAATCTTCGGGATAAAAATAATACCCAGGAGACCATGAGTAAAGACTCACCAGGAAAAACAGTCTTTAAACTCTTTTAGCAAGTCAATTTGGTCAGAGCAAGAAATTAACTTTGGAAATTATGTGTGGCCATTTGATTAATTTTAAAGGTGGAGTTCATTTGGTGAAAGTTTTGTACAGGTTGTTCATTAGTCATAGAGTCATACAGCATGGAAACAGATCCTTTGGCCCAACTTGTCCATGCCAACCCAGTTTCCTAAACTTAACTAATCCCATTTGCCTGCATTTGGCCTGTATCCCTCTAAACCTTTCCTATCCATGTACCTGTCCAAATGTCTTTTAAATGTTCTATATGTACTCACATTCCTCTGGCAGCTCATTTCGTGTATGCACCACCCTCAGTGTGGAAAATGTTGCTCCTCAGGTCCCTCTTAAATCTTTCCCCTCTCCCCTTAAACCCATGACTTCTAGTTTTAGCCTCCCCTACTTAAGGAAAAGATTTTATAAACGTCTACAAGTCAACCTTCAGCCTCCTACGCTCCAGTGGAAAAAGTCCTAGACTATCAAGCCTCTCCTTATAACTCAAACCCTCCAGTTTTGGTAACATCCTTGTATATCTTTCCAGTTTTTAGTAACATCCTTCCTACAGCAGGGCAACCAGAATTGTATGCCGTTGGCCTTATCAATGTCTTGTACAGCTGTAACATGACATCCAAATTCCTGTACTCAATGCTCTGACCAACAAAGGCAGGCGTGCCAAATGCCTTCTTCACCACTCTGTCCACCTGTGACGTCATTTTCAAGGAGCTATGTACCTGCATTCCCTAGGTCTGTCTGTTCGACAACAGTCCCCAGAGCCCTGCCATTAACTGTTTAATTCCTTCTCTGGTTTCTTTTACCAAGACACGTTTATCTGTATTACACTCCATCTGCTGTTCCTCAGCCCACTGGCCCAGTTGATCAAGATTCCATTGTACTCTTAGATAACCTTCTTCACGGTCCAATATACCACCAATTTTAGTATTATCCACAAACTTACAAACCATGCTTCCTATATTCTCATCCAAATCGTTTATTTAAGTGACAAATAACAGTGGACGTATCACCGATCCTTGTGGCACACCGCTGGTCACAGGCCTCTAGTCTGAACAACAACCCTCTATCACCACCCTCTGTCTTCTACCATTAAGCCAAAAATAACTTATTTTTTTAAAATGGAAGAACTTTTTTTTTTGAACGCACAGGTGTTCATGACTTGGAACTTGCTGCCCACAGAGTACTAGCAGCAAAAACAACCAATGATTTTGAAAGGAAATTAGATAAAAAGGAGAAGGGAATAACCTTGCAAAGTAAAGTGGGGTAATGGGACTGACTAGTTTGTCCTAAATAGATGGGTCAAGTAACCTCCTTCTGTGTCATATTCCCTTAAAAGGGCAGATGCGGCCTGAGTTTTAAAATGATATTTGAAAGTTGCTCTTCTGGTAATGCAGCATTCCCTCAGTAATGCAAAGAACACAAAGTTGGACTTAAAGCAACACAAAGTCTTGCCATTGACCGATACAGAAAAAGAGAAAATTTTACTTATCAGATAGAATTTAAGGGTGTCAAACTGGTCCTGTATTTATCATAACATCACAAGGGAAGATATTTGATCAAGAAAACAGAACTTATTTAAGTGATTAAAAGGTGTGCATGAGTTTTTAATCAGTTCAAAAGTAAAAATACTTGTGAAAAAACAAATTTAAAACACTCATACTCAAAAACAATTTGGTTAATATGTTGTCACACATATGAGACCATAACATATAGGAGCAGAAATTAGGCCATTCAGTCCATTGAGTCTGCTCCGCCATTATGGCTGATAAGTTCCTCAACCCCATTCTCCTACTTTTTCCCTGTAACCCTTGATCCTCTTGATTATCAAGAACCTATCTATCTCAGTCTTAAATGTACTCAATGACCTGGCCTTCACAGCCTTCCGTGGCAGTGAATTCCATGGATTCACCAATCTCTGGCTGAAGAAGTTTCTCCTTATCTCCGTTCTAAAAGGTCTTCCCTTTACTCTAAGGCTGTGTCCTCGGGTCCTAGCCTCTCCTACCAATGGAAGTATCTTCCCAACATCCACTTTGTCCAGGCCATTCAGTATTCTGCAAGTTTCAATTAGATCCCCCCTCATCCTTCTAAACTCCAATGAGTATAGTCCCAGAGTCCTCAAACGTTCCTCATATGTTAAGCTTTCCATTCCTGGGACCATTCTCGTGAACCTCCTCTGAACCCGCTCCAGGGGCAGTACATCCTTCCTGAGATATGGGGCCCAAAATTGCACACAATGCTCCAAATGTGGCCTGACCACAGCCTTATAAAGCCTCAGGAGTACATCCCTGCTTTTATATTCAAGTCCTCTCAAAAATAAATGCCAACATTGCATTTGCCTTCCTGACTATTGATTCAACCTGCAAGTTTACTTTGAGAGAATCCTGGACTAGAACTTCCAAGTCTCTTTGCACTTCAGACTTCTGAATTTTCTCCCCGTTTAGAAAATAGTCCATGCTTTTATTCTTCTTACCAAAGTGCATGACCTCACACTTTCCCACATTGTACTCCATCTGCCACTTCTTTGCCCACTCTCCCAACCTGTCTAAATCCTTCTGCAGCCTCCCTGCCTCCTCAATACTACCTGTCCTTTAACCTCTCTTTGTATCACCTGCAAACTTAGCCAGGATGCCCTCGCTTCCTTCATCTAGATCATTAATGTACAAAGTGAAAAGTTGTGGTCCCAGCACTGACCCTTGCGGAACACCACTTGTCACCGGCTGCCATCCTGAGAAAGACCCTTTTATCCCCACTCTCTGCTTTCTGCCAGACAGCCAATCTCTATCCATGCTAGCACCTTGCCTCTAACACCATGGGCCCTTATCTTACTCAGCAGCCTCCTGTGTGGGACCTTATCAAAGGCCTTTTTGAAGTCCAGGTAGATAACATCCATTGACTCTCCTTGGTCTACCCTGTTCATTACTTCCTCAAAGAATTCTAGAAGATTTGTCAGGCATGATCTCCCCTTGATGAAACCATGCTGACTTTGCCCTATTTTACTATACATTTCCAAATATTCAGAAATCTCATCCTTTACAGTGGACTCCAAAATCTTACCCACAACCAAGGTTAGGCTAATTGGCCTGTAATTTTCTGTCTTTTGCCTTACTCCCTTTTTATACAGGGGTGTCACGTTAGTGATGTTCCAGTTCTCTGGGACCCTCCCTGACTCTAGCGATTCCTGAAAGATCACTGCTAATGCTTCCACTATCTCTTCAGCTATCTCCTTTAGAACTCTGGGGTGTAGTCCATCTGGTCCAGGTGATCTGTCCACCTTCAGGCCAATCAGTTTTACTAGCACCTTTTCCTTGGTGATGGCCACCATACTCAACTCTGCCCCCTGACTCTCTTGAATTTTTGGGAGATTACTCGTCTCTTCCACTGTGAAGACTGATGCGAAGTAATTATTCAGTTCCTCAGCCATTTCCTTGTTCCCCACTACTATCTCTCCACTGTCATTTTCCAGTGGTCCAATGTCCACTTTCGCCTCTCTTTTACCCTTTATATACCAAAGAAACTCTTACAGTCTTCATTTATATTACTGGCTAGCTTACCCTCATATTTAATCTTCTCCCTCATTATTTCTTCTTTTGTTGCCCTCTGTTGGTCTTTGTAAGCTTCCCAGTCCTCTTGTTTCCCACTGCCCTTTGCTACATTATGTGCTTTATCTTTTGCTTTTATGCTATCCCTGACCTCTTTAGTTGGCCATGGTTGCCTCATCCTCCCTGTACCATGCTGCTTTTTCCTAGGGATGAATTTTTGCTGCGTCTCCTGAATTACTCCCAGAAACTCCTGCCATTGCTGTTCTACTGTCTTTCCTGCTAGTCTCCTCTTCCAGTCAATCCTGCCCAGCTCCTCCCTCATACCTCTGTAGTCACCTTTATTCAGCTGAAATACCATTACATCTGATTCTATCTTCTCCCTCTCAAATTGCAGAGTAAATTCTATCGTCTTATGATCACTGCCTCCTAAGGGTTCCTTTACCTTAAGCTCCCTTATCAAATCTGTCTCATTGCACATCACTAAATCCAGTATTGCCTGTTCCCTTCTGGGGTCCACTGCAAGCTGCTCCAAAAAGCCATCTCGTAGACATTCCACAAACTCCTTTTCTTGCAATCCACTACCAACATGATTTTCCCAGTCCACCTGCATATTGAAATCTCCTATGATCACTGTTACTTTGTCTTTCTTACACACCTTTTCTATCTCCTGGTGTATCTTGCGCCCCAGCTCCTGATACTGTTTGGAGGCCTGTACACAACCCCAACTATGTTTTTTTTTACCTTTGCGGTTCCTCAATTCTACCCATACAGATTCTACGCCATCTGACCCTACTTCGTTTCTTCTTATTGATGTAATTTCATTTCTCACTAATAAGACAATCCCACCCCCTCAGCCTACCTGCTATTTTTTTGATAGGATGTATATCCTTGGATATTCATTTCCCAATCCTGATCCCCCTGCAGCCACATCTCCGTGATGCCTACCACGTCATACCTGCCAGTTTCAATCTGCGCCACAGGCTCATTTACCTTATTCCTTATAGTGCATGCATTCAGATATGGCACCTTCAGTCCTGTATTAACCCTCCCTCTTCTCATTTTCAGTTTTTCTAGTGTTTGATTGCTAGCCTTTTCCAAACACTCTGTCCTATTTGTGTCTGTGCCGGAGACTTTAATAACCTCTCCTGAATTCTCCTTCCCTGTCATTTCTTTCATATTTTTCCACTTAGTTGAATCCACCACTACAGATGTTAACCTGCTGCTTTGTTTCCCACCAGGATATAGTCTTCATGGTAGAGTCTGGAAATGTTACAGAACTAGTTAGTTATTGCAGGTTAGAATAGGTGGAATGACAGACTAGTTTTGTTTTCAGTCTGTACCACTGCTGTCCTCAAAGATGTGGAGAATCTCAAATTTGCATCATTTTGAATATCTGTCAAATTTTATGTGGCATTGTCATTAAGTGTTTTGGATATGTGCACAGAGTATCAGTAGCACAGCATGGAATTGGTTCAGGAATCACATGGCCAAGCAAGTTCTGACCATGTTCACACTTTCCAACATCGATCATCAGAGTGAGACAGCATCTCAATGTGACCTTCTGTTGCTGAGATTATTATCTTGGAGAGCAACTGTTCAAATTTGTGAGCTCCTTTTTCCGAGTAGTTTCGTGTATAGTTATACACTAAACCTGCTGAGGGCGCTATCTGAGTTTTAAATGGAAAGATTTTGTTTTAAGGCCATGTTTGCAAAGAATTTTTCAGAGATTCTTTAACTATCATTGACATCTCAACATTACAGTGGCTGCCCTCATGAGATCATAATTATATCTCTTTCCCCAATAAAAGTAATTTTTTTATTGAAAACATCATTCACCCATTCTACACAAATTTTGTTATATTAAAGAAAATGACAACTCGATGAAGTTTCTAATCTTAATCATTTTCTTCCCTTCCTTTAGCGTGCTCCCCCCCCTTCCCCGCCCAATGATGGCTTTGCATTCCGTTGCTTTGGACTCCCCTCTCCAATCCTTATCAAATGTTCCAGCTCCCACTCTTGCTTTTTGAAACCCGAATGCATGGCCAAATATTTCGTTACTTTTCCAAAATTCTCCTCCTCTTGGCTCACTTTCTGATTTAATTCACACCTCTTTTTGAAGATCTATAAATGCAATATTCACGAGGAATCAGGATACTATCAATTAGTAAAGGCATTAAGTATCAACTGCTGAGTAGAATTTGTAGCCACCTGGACTGTGCTCACATTCATCATGTACGTTGTTTGTGAAATAACAACATTTGCAGTTAGTGGTTATGGTTTCCTGTTCTGTCTTTGTCCTTGGCGCCAAATGGAGAATATTTTGCAGTATGTCTGTTTGAATGCAATTTTTTTTTCTGAATAACTGAATGGTGTTTCATTTTATTCCACTATAGGATCAAAGACATTCAGACTGTTTACTTGGACACAACATTTTGTGATCCACGATTTTATCAAATCCCAAGCAGGGTAAATATTTCAAACTTTTCAACATTTTCACGGATTATGCCAATAATTTCATTTATTTTTGTTTGCTTTGTCCTAAATCTATTGAGCTACATAAGTGTATATTTTGTTGTAATACAAATTGTTTGTAGAATCCATGGAATCTTACACCATCAGAGAGAGGTCATTCAGCCCATTATGCTGGTGCTAACATCAGTCAGAAGACAAGATAGATATCTCCATGGTATTTCTCACAAGCACCGGATTCCTCAAAGTGCTTTGCAAACAATGAAGTATGTTTTGAAGTGTAGTCTGTGTATTAACATGGGAAACATGGCAGCCAATTTATGCACAGCAAGATCCCACAACAACAACAATGTGATAATGACCAAATAACCTATTTTTATGAGTTTGATTGAGTGATGAATATTGGCCACTGCAGGAAACTCCCCTGCTCTCCTTCGAAATGGCTACAATTAGATCTTTTACCACAACATCAGCATGGAGATGGGAGCTTCAGTTTAATGAAACTTAGCTCTCTCACCAAACACAAACTGAGGGTTACTATGGGTAGATGTGGAATTCGAAACACAAACAGATCAAACATGTTTTTATTGACTGGCAGAGCAGGCTTGAGGGACTGGATGTTCCATTTCAGCTCCATATCTTACTGATGAGCACACCATACAGTGCACTGTTTTCTGGACTAAGCATGACACTGAAACAATTCAATTCGCAGTTAAAATTGCATGTTCATTTGGGACATTGTCCTTTCCGTTTTCCTTTGGTACAACTGCATCCAGGTAGCTGGTTAACTGTGTGCAAAATGTCTGCAATGTTGGCGTTATGCAATTTATGACTAAGTAATTGGCCAAAAGCCAGTCTGGAATGGGTATTCTATTTTTATTTTGTGTCTCATTGTTTGTAGGAGGAGTGCCTGAACGGGATCCTGGAGTTAGTGAGAAGCTGGATCACACTTAGTCCTTACCATGTCATCTGGTTAAACTGTAAGGCAGCATATGGATATGAATATCTCTTCACTAACCTCAGTGAAGAATTCTCAGTTCAGGTAGGTGGTGAAAATTTGTTCACACACATACATCAGAATTGTAGATCTTTCCATTTTTTTCGTGCTTTGGAGATGACAGTAGATTTTGTACAGAGTTCATCAAGTTTCCTGGTGATTTCCCACAGCTGAATGTCGATCTTTTTATTTTCTGCCTGGAAGCTAACTTCTCCCATTGAACATGGTAAATCAGGATATGGAGGTACCGGTATTGGACTGGGGTGGACATGGTCAGAAATTCGGAGCCACTAACAGCTGAAGAAGGACTGAGGCTCCGAAAGCTTGTGTTTTCAAATAAACCTGTTGGACTATAACCTGGTGTTGAATGATAATTCAGAATAGTAAATTCAGTCTTCCTGGGGCAAGTTGCTGAGTAGAGGTGAAGTTTGGGACTCCGCATGTGTGGACCATTCACCTATGAGCAGCCATTTGTGTTAATAAAGCAGCCAGTCAGTCTCCTCCATCTGCTGTGTTTTCTTGTCTGAATCTTTTTTGACCTTCAGGTTCATCTTAACAAGTTGGATATGTTTCGTAATATGCCTGAAATCCTACATCATGTCACCACAGAGAGATCAACACAGATTCACGCGTGTAGACACCCCAAGGTAAGGTTATTTCCTCAGCATTCATTTGTTAACAGATTGCAGGCAACCAGATCATTTCCTGAATTTGTAAGCAAATTTTGTAAGGTACTCTACCGTCACTCTGTATTGTCCTAGTTGTTTTAAAATTCTAATCTTAATTATCTTAATCCTTTAAATGAAATGGTCCCAATTTCTAAATACCCATTCAATATTCTCACCAGGATGAGGATTATGTTCGTGGAAACAGACTCCCTTGTGGCATTACAGCAAAAGATGGGACTCCACTTCGCATTATCAGCATTAAACCTTCTACCATGTGGTTTAGTGAACGGATAAAGAAGGCGAGTGTAATTGTAAGGTATGACAGCATCATGCATTGCCAGGACTGCACAAGCAGCACGTTACCCAAATGCACGCTATTGAAATGAACTTGTGCTTGACCTTGATATACTAAAGATCAGGTGTCTGGACTGACTGAAGGAAGAAGCTCATTTTTTTGCTCTGTGTAGTCCTTAATATTTTAAATACAATATTGTAGAATCTAAGCATTGAATTTTTTCTGACAAAATTATTCACCTGTTATTTAGTACTACTCTGTTTCTTACTTCTAATTAATTCTAACTCTGTACCAGAGATCAGATTAAACCCAATATCCAATGAAAGCAACTTTTTATTTGCTTGTGGGATGTGGAAATTTCCTTTCAAGGTCCCCATTTGTTGTCTATCCCGCACTGTCCTCGATGATGTGGTGCTGAGCTGCTGCTTTGAGCCACTGCAATCCAGTTGGTGTAGGCAGACCCACAATGCCCTTAGCAGGAAGATCCAGGGCTTTGACCCAGCGACACTGCAGGAACAATGATGTATTTCCAAATCAGGATGTTGAGTGGCTTGGAGTGGAACTTGCAGGGGTTGGTGTTCCTATGCGTCTCCTGACCTCATTTTTCTAGGTGGTAGAGGTCATGGGTTTGGAACAGGCTGCTGAAGTAGCCTTGGTGTGATGCTGCAGTTAATCTTGTAGTTGGTACACACTGCTACACTGTGTCAGTGGTGGAGGGAGGGAACAATTACCGAACAATGTTGAAGCATGCCATTGTGGGTTAATTAATTTCCTCCCATGTGCATATCATATGGAACTTCATGGAAATGAAATTTAAGGTTTTAGCAAAGGAAGTCAAATGCAGATGCCTTCCTGGTTCATAAACTATGATAAGGCTCCCAATATGACCACCCCATGTAGACGGCTGGTCTGTCAAGACTGCAATAGTCTACTATATGGACCAGATAGCCTCTAGTTCAGGCTGCTCAGCTTTGCTAAGCTCAGCCTGGTCTTTAACTGAGGCATAGCTGACAACAACATACTCGGGCAGGGAACAAAAATCTCATCCAGGATTTCTGTGATTCTTAGCAGTACCTCTCCCAGCAGGAAAGAGGGAAATTGGACCTGCACCATTTGTTCCCTTTACCTTCAACACTCCCACAAAGGAAAAATAACTCACTTGGGAGAATTGGAATAGCAAATAACCAAACCTAAAACTTTTACGTTAAAGTAAAAGGCTGCAGATGTAAGAGGTCTGAAATAAAAAGTGCCAGAGAAACTCCATGTCTGGCACCGTCTGTGGAGAGAAAAATGGAATTGATATTTTGAGTCCAATGTAAGTGTATTCACTGATGTGTTTACAGTCTATTTAATGAATCTGAATTGAGCTGATTATTAACAAATTGACATTCAGCTTGTAATTTGCACTACTGGATCTTCTCAGCTGTTCCAATCTCTTGCATCCTTTTTTGAGTAGTCACGAGGTTCCTTTGCAGATATTTTGGTCAGACAAGATTGAATTTATATTTTTAAAGGCTATGATGTGGCTTTGGCAGCAGTAGAAAGAGCTGCTGATTGCTGATGGTTGTATAGTGGGATCAAAGAGTGGACATTATAAATTGTCGAGGTTTATAAAATCATGGGGGCATGTATAGGATGAATAGCCAAGATCTTTTCTGCCAGGGTAGGGGAGCCCAAAACTAGAGGGCATAGGTTTATGGTGAGAGGGGAAAGATATAAAAGGGACCTGAGGACCAATCTTTTCGCGCAGAGGGTCGTGCATGTATGGAATAAACTGCCATAGGAAGTGGTGGATGCTGGTACCATTAGAACATTTAAAAGGCATCTGGATGGGTATATGAAGAGGAAGGGTTTAGCGGGATATGGACCAAATGCTGGCAAATGAGACAAGATTAATTTAGGATAACTGGTCGGCATGAATGAGTTGGACCGAAGGGTCTGTTTCAGTGCTGTATAGCTCTATGATTCTATGCTGATGTTAGCAGAAATTTGCTTTGAATAGGGTAGCTAATGAAGACTCCTCTAAACTCAAAATGTTAGCTTGCTGTCTCTCCATTGATGCTGCCTGACCAATGTGATCGCCAGCATTTTTTGTTTTCAGTTTGCTTTAAATGGTCTTGTTTACAAATTTTCCTGCTTCACTGAAAACCTACCAAATGTACAGCTTTTTTTTTTTGCGGATGCAAATGTGACTGGGGATAGCAGGCTGGGAGCAGTGAAACCAGTGTGTTAACAACAGCTTGTCACTGGAAGTATTCCTGAAATGAATTTTAAAGAAAACCGTTGCTCAAAAATCTGCCTCACTTTATACCTAGTTAAAAAAACAGCATTTACAAAATTAAACAGTGTTCATGCTCCAATAAAACCGAAAATAACAACAAAATGCTGTAACTAAATGCTTCTATAAATTACACAGCCAATTTCAAACCATGTATAACACTCCTGATAAAATCTAAGTTACCACAGAACAGCCGAAACAGACAGCACTATTCCCCCATGTGGTTAAAGCCAAGATATCCTAGTTAACAGATTGTGTAGCCACCAAAGCACCTGGTGTAGCAATTTTTCATGTCCCTAAAAAAAAAACTGATCAATGGTTTAGTTTCTTGTCTGTAGGGGTGTTTGGTCAATAGTTTGTTGTTATTGGTCATGAAGCACGTACACTTGAAAGTTTTAACTTTGACCAAAGGCCTTAGACCCCAAGCACATTGCACAATGCTGACAGTTCTATGCAGTACAGAGGGAGTGTAGCATTGTCACTGATACTACCCTCGATGTGAAGGGTTTAAAATAAATTTTCCTATAACCGTGGATGTTAAAAGAATCATTGGTGCCATTCAAGGAAGGTTTACTTAGTGAACTCATTTCATTTAGTGCCCAACCACCTAAAGTTTGACCATCTCAAACAAGAGGGCATAGGTCTGGAGTGAGAGGAGGTAGGCTCAAATGTGAGATGAGGAAAAGCTAGTTCTTTCAGAGGGTTGTGAACCTGTGGAACTGACTGCCCCAGATGGCAGTGAAGAAAGAATCAATCAACAGATTCAAGAAAGAAATAGATATGTTTCTGATGAAAAGTGGGATAAAGGGCTATGAGGAGCAGGCAGAAAAGTGGAGTTGAGACCAGGATAAGATCAGCCATGGTCATGTTAAATGGTGAATTGGGCTCGAAGGTCTGAATTGCCTGCTCCCGCTCCTAATTCTATGTTGTTGCCAGTGGGACCTCATGGAGTCCTGGCTGTTAGGGGTACTTCATGCTAAGGGTGGAGTTGTCAATAAGCAGGACTCCATGCAGCCAACTCAACCCTAAATGTCATCTATCCACACGCTCCCAACTCTCTGATCCAACTTTCCTGTTGCCCAGTCTCTCTCGCACTTGAACCCAGCCTTTCTCCCATCCCAACCCTCCAGCCAACCCAGCACAAAACTGTCTCCTTCCCCCAAACTTGCCCTGAGCACTCACCCATCTGCCACCCTTACCCATCACCTGCTGTACTCACTGAACATAAGTTCACCACCTTTGGCCAGGATTTAGTCATGAAAAGGGCTGTGTTTTCAATGCCATTCCACTTTGTTCTGCATTGCTTGGATTTCAGGCCTGGATGAGACTGTTCTCCATCCTTGGGGCCAATAGGATCAAAGGATATGAAGGGAAGTTTAGGAGCAGTCTTCTGTTTTTTTTTTGTTGAGTTGGATGATCAGCCATTACCATATTGAACAATGAAGCAGGCTCAAAGGGCTGAATGGCCTATTCCTGCTCCTGTTTTTGGCGTTTCGATGTGTTTATAAATCTATTTTAAATCTTGCTGTTATTCAGAAAACATTGCAATGTTTACAGGGTATAGCTTTGGAGTCAGCCATTTGGAACTGAGACACAGAAAAACATTTTTGTAGCAACAGTATACACCATCTAGAGGATGCACTGCAGTATCTCACCAATGCTGTTTAGACAGCACCTACCAAACCCACAATCACTTCCATCTTCCAGTAAGACGGCAGTAGAGTATCATAGAATCATAGAATCCCTACAGTGTGGAAACAGGCCATTCGGCCCAACAAGTCCACACCGACCCTCTGAAGAGCATCCCACCCAGACCCATCCCCCTACCCCTTTACCCCACCTAACCTGCACATCCCTGAACATTACGGGCAATTTAGCATGGCCAATCCTTCTAACCTGCACATCTTTGGACTGTGGGAGGAAACCGAGGCACCACGAGGAAACACACGCAGACACGGGGAGAATGTGCAAACTCCACACAGACAGTCACCCGAGGGTGGAATTGAACCCAGGTCCCTGGCGCTGTGAGGCAGCAGTGCTAACCACTGAGCCACCGTGCTGCCCCAAGTCCGTCTTCTGAGCCCAAGGCTCACTCGCTCTGTCTGCTTTTCAGTTCCTTTCTTTTTCTTTCTCCCTCACTGTCTCTCTCTCTCTCCCCTCTTTTATTTTACTTACCTCCTGTTGAAAAGCTCAGTCACGGAGATGACATCGGTGAGTGGGACCAGCATGGACTCATGGCGGTGGTGTCGGAGGCGAGTTTGGGTTCCCAGAGGCATCTGTATCATCAGGGCAGTCGTAGTGCTGACTCGTGTCTGCTACAGTAGAGGTGAGTTTGGGCCCAGTACACGACCCTGTGGCATCAGCAGCAGTAAGGTGGGCCTGAAGCAGATTCGTGGCAGCGGCAGGTCAAGTTTGGGCTGTTGTGGTACCCGGCAGTATCTGTATTGATGAGGTCCAGTGAGGATTCACAATGATAAAGGTGTTGGTGGAGGCGAGAGGGCGTCAAAGATTCGTGACTTTCATTCCAATGGCACAGTGATGACTTGTACCTGGCCACCAGGCCCATGGCCCATGGTGGAGCACTTAACAAGAGGGACTATAAAGTTCAACACTTCCTTTATTTCTATATTTTTCTGACTTTATATTCTATGTTTTGGTTTATGTTTCTGTGTTTTAAGATGGTGCCAGAGAGTGGTGACATTTGCGCTGTATTTTGTAACAAAATAGACATGCAATAAATAAATCAAATCAAATCTGGAAGGACAAGGGTAGCAGATATCTGGGAACACCACCACCTGCAAGTTCCCTCCAAGCCACATACCATCCTGACTTGAAAATATATCACTGTTCCTTCAGTGTTGCTGGGTCAAAATCCTGGAATTCTCTCCCTAATGGCATTGTGGGTCAACCTACAGCGCATGGACTGCAGCGGGTCAAGGAGGCAGCTCACCCCCACCTTCTCAAGGGGCAACTAGGGACGGGGCAATAAATGTTGGACCAGCCAGTGACGGCCACATCCCATGAGTGAATTAAGAAAAGGGGGAAAAAAAACATATACATGAGATAATGGAACTTTGGAATTTAGCCACTTCATTTGCTTTCAATGAAAAGTGACGTATTGAGTATATTTGAATTGTATTAAACAAACGTGTACTATTGAAGCCATTGATGAAATCAATAATGCAAACTCTGTCTTAGGAATTGTATTTATTATTTATTTCAGAACTGGAGAGAGTTCATACAGGGCTTGTTTCTCATTCCATTCATCCTTCAGTGAGGTAAGGGGTGATGGCCGACTGGTATTAGCACTAAACTATTAATCCAGAGCCCGCTACCCCCCCCCCCCACCCCTCCCCTCCCCTGCCCCAGGTAATACTGTGGACACTCTGGTTCAAATCCTGCCATGGCAGTTGGTCAAATTTGAATTCAATACAAATCTGTAATTAAGAGGCTAATAATGACTGTGACAACATTGTCACTTGTCAGGAAAAGTCCACCTGGTTCTCTGATGTCCACTGGGCAATTAGGGATTGGTAATAAATGCTGATCCAGCCAGCAATACCCACATACCATGAATGACTTTAAAAAGAGATAAACCTCTTCTTTTACCTAAGTATTTTGCCTCAAGTTCTGAGGTTTATGTACTAAATTTTTCACCTTAATTTGCATGTTTTCCTGTCTTTGCTTCATAATCTTCCCCTTCATATTAATATGGCAAAGGTCACATATCATGGATAATTGCAAAGTGGTCAGTGACTTGATTTTACACTGTCCCAGAAGCATTCGAAATCTACTGCAGTGAGTGGAGAATCAGTTATTGGGTCTGACAGAAAATTGTTTCATTTTAAAAGCTGGTGCATATACCTAATTCCTTAAGCAGACTGTCAACTTGTTTGGAAGACTAAATGATGTAAAGGAGATGGGGGAAAATGTTTCCACTCAGTTTTTTTTTCTTTTTTTTTCTACCATATTCTCTCTTTCTCTCACTCCTTTGCTCTCATGTCCCTCATTTCTCATTTTCTCTCTCTTGCTCGTGTTCTTTTTTCTTACTTGCCCTCTTTTGGTTTCTTCACACTCTTGTTCTTTCTTGTGCAGTCTACCTTCTCTTTACATCTCTTCCTTTCATTTTGTGATGATGCTATACCTTTAAGAGGGGCTTTTTGGTCCTGTTTTCTTTTAAAGAGAGAGATTGAATGAGAGTCTGCAGTAAACAGCTTTGGGAAGTCTTGGGAGTTGGAACAGAAGCAGCCTGGATGGGAGTGGCCAGCTCTCTCAGAGCAGGATCTTTTTTTTTTAGTTTTTATTTTTAGCTTTAAGCTGTTGCTGTTAGAGTCTCAACAGGGCAGAAGCTGCTGGAGTTTTGAAGAAGTAGAAGCTATCTTTTCCCTGTCTCAGTTACAGCTAGAAGCTAGGGTTTCTCTTTGCTGCTGGGTTACCTGTGAGAAAAATCTATTTTTCTCAATTTGCCTTTTTGCCAACGTGTGTGTTTATGGGATGTTACTGTATTAGTTAATTAGTACTAGGGATTGTATCTATTATTTAGTTAAATTTTCCAACAGAGGTAAGTTATTCTAAGTTCTGCTTTCTTTTGTTGTATTTTAACTATTGTGATTAAATAGTGTTTTGCTTAACGCCGAGTAGTTTGATCAGTTGAATCGCATCTGGAATACTGTACATTACATTTCCCCTTAAAATAAGAAAAAGTTAGGGTCTAGGCTACCTTAAAATATTTTGAGGGGGTCTGGTCTGGTCCATAATAATTTTCTTTTTCTTCCTCCCTCCTCTCTTCACTCAGATTGTGGATTTTCTTTCGTATGTACAGCCTGTGAATATTCACCCAAACGTTGTGCCTATGGGCCGGAATTTTGAAGATGTCCAGGAGATGTAAGTAAAGCACGTGAGGAGCCCTCCAGTGTTTACAGTAAATGGCCATTTTCCACCAAGAGTCGTCATGTTTTTCTTTTATTTGAGAATTTCCTGTACTGTCGGAATTTGGCAAACTCACTCCTGCAAGGTTTGACCTTCTTCAGCACAAGAAAAAGATAGAATTAGAACTTTCATGACAGTGGAAAATAGCCAAATAGTTATAAAAATTTAAAAGATTTTTAGTTGAGAGTTGTAAATCTAACACCTGGAGTGTAATTGTAACAGCACTACATGGAACTTAAGAGTAGACCATTCAGCTGCTTGAGCCTGCTCCACCATTCAGTAAGATCATGACTGATCTTGTTCTGGCCTCAACTCTACTTTCCAGTCTGCAGCCACCCCATCCCCAGCCCACCTCACTCCTTAATTCCCTTAACCATCTAAGCTATATCTAATTTCACCTTAGGTAAGTTTAATGACCAAGCCTCCACTGCTTTTTGGGAAACAAAATTCCAAAGCTCAGAGAAATTTATCATCCTCCCCTTAAAAGGGAGACCTTACATTCTTAAACTAATGCCCCGTTAGCTTTAGTCTTTCCAAAAGAGGAAATATCCTGCGGGTCTCCAACCCATCCCATCATCTTTAGTATTTCAGGAAGATCCTCTCTCATTCTTCTAAACTCCAGGGGGTATGTGCTCAACTGTCTTCAGAAGCCCTTCATCCCAACAATTAGCCCTGTCTGAACTGCTAATGCAATTATATGCTTTCTAAAATAAACCAAAATCATATAAACTACTGTAGATATTACCAGGGTGCTATAGAGCTGTACTAAAACATCCCTCGCCTTATTGCTCACACTTCTTGCAATAAGCCATTCCATTTGCCTTTCTAATCACTGTGTACTAACTTGGACTGAAGGGTCCTTTTCCATGCTGTCCATCTCTATGACTCTATGTACCAAAATACCCAGATCCCTCTGTACCATTGTAGCAATTCTGTGATCAGCATTCTTTTCTCATTCTGTACAAATGCTGTTCTTCACATTTGGTCTTCTTGCAAATTGTCCTGATGAGTTCAAGATGAAAAGTTTTGGAAAACTGTATCCCACATTTTGCCCTTGTTAATTTTGTAACAATTCCAAGTTAGAATTAAAATCATTAGAGCCATTCAGCTACACTGATCCTCCAAAGAGTATCCCACCCCATCCGCATAACCCCTCATAACCCCGCATTAACCATGGCTAACTCACCTAACCTGCACAACTCTAGACACTATGGGCAATTTAGCACGGCCAATCCACCTAACCCGCAAATCTTTGGACTGTGGGAGGAAACTGGAGCATGCGGAGGAAACCCACGCAGACACGTGGAGAACAAGCAAACTCCATATACCCACCCACGGGTGGGATTGTACCTGGGTCCCTGGTGCTGTGAAGCAGCAGTGCTAACCACTGAGCCACCACCACACCCCAATTGTTTGATTTTAATCTGTAATTCTGTTTCTGTTCTGATTTAGTTTGAAGCCACTGGGTAGGAAGTGTTTAGGAGACGGTGAACCTGCGTACAAACCGCTGGGCAAGTTGAAAAGATCAAGGAATTGTTTTATCAATGAGCAAGGTATGTGTGTTGGATGATGTGGAATGGAATATCTTAAACTCTTTACAAAACTCCAGGTGAAAGAATGCACCATCAAACTTGAAACTAACTGCAAAGAGAACTAGAGTGTAACTAATTGCAATTACATGACAAATCATTTGCTTTCAAATAGTGAGGGGAACAGAAAAAAGGTCACTGACTGAGATTTCTTGCAGGTAATAATAACAATTGATTATTTATACATTACAGTTCAGAGTCACTGCTGATGAAGACATGGTTACTTAGATAAATTTATTATAATTAGTAGCCAATGGCTGACTGCTTGATGTTACTTAACAGGTTGATTAAAAAATAAATGTTGAAGTTATGACACACCTCTGGAGCAAGTGGGACTGGAGTCTGGGATTTCTAGCTCAGACATAGGGACAGTACCGCCTTCCACCTATTTTTGTGTCATCTTCAAACTCAGCTGTAGTTAATTCATTGTCCTCATCTAAATCATTAATGTATATCATAAATAACTGTGGCCCTATCATTGATCCCTTTTATAGGTTGCTGTCCTGATAAAGTCCCTTTTATTCCCGACTCTCTCTCCTATTAGTCAGCCAATCCTGTATCCGCACAAATATACTGTTTCCCCCATCATCATGGACCCTTATCTTATTACGTAGCCTAATGTGTGGTACTTCACAAATACCTGTTGGAAATTAAAATATATTCCATTGACTGGTTTCCCTTTATCTATCCTGCTTGTTACCTCCTCAGGCATGATTTCCCCTTCAGGAAGCCATGTTTATTTGCGTGATTACATTATATAGTTCTAAATGCTCGGATGTTACATCTTTTTATACATTAGGAAAATGTTAATGACAGATGTTAAGGTGACTAACCTAGAGTTGTTGGTTTTATGTTTCCTATTTTTTGAATAAGGGTGTTACATTAGCAGTTTTCCAATCCTCTGGGATTTTACAAGATTCTTGCAAGATTACTACCAGCGCATCCACTATCTCTGTAGCTACTTCTTAGGGTAATCCTAGGGACAACACGCCAATTCTAACAGTCTTTAGCACCATAAATTTTCTTAGTACTTTTTCCTCTAGTAACAGTTATTGTTTATTCCATCTCTCTGTTATAATCCCTTGATTTTTTCGATCTTTGGAATACTATTTGCATCAATCTTCACACCTGAGGATGCTAAATACTTATTCAGCTCTTCTCAATTTTCTGATTGCGCCATGATTATTCCCCAACCTCCTCCTCTAAGGGGCCTATATTCACAGTGGCCCTTTTTACATATTTAAAGAAGCTTTTGCTGTCCATTTATATATTACTTGCTAGTTTGCCCCAAGTTTATTTTCTTCTTGTCATATTTTGTCATCTTACGTTGGTGCGAAGAGTTCAAACTTTCCCAATCTTCTGGTTCACTACTAATTTTTGCCATGTTGTTGTTTTCTCTTTCAATTTGTTACTCTCCTTAACTTCCCTGGTTAACCCTTTTTTTATTATTAATTCCCTTCCTAGAAGCTATCTTCACAAAAGTTGGTTTGCAGGTACAGCAGGTAATTAAGAAGGCAAATGGAATATTGTCCTCCATTGTTAGAGGGATGGAGTTTAAAAACCAGGAGGTTATGTTACAGCTGTATAGGGTGCTGGTGAGGCCACATCTGGAGTACTGTGTACAGTTTTGGTCTCTTCACTTGAGAAAGGATATACTGGCACTGGAGGGGGTGCAGAGGGGTTCACTGGGTTGATGCTGGAATTGAGTGGGTTGGTTTATGAGGAGACATTGAGTAGACTGGGTCTAGACTCATTGGAATTTAAAAGAATGAGAGGGGAATCTTATCAAAGCATATTAAATTATGAAGGGGATAGGATAGAAGCAGGCAGGTTGTTTCCACTGGCATAGCCTCCAAATAAGGGGGAACAGATTTAGGACTGAGTTCAGGAAGAACTTCTTCACCTAAAGTGTTGTGAATCTGTGGAATTCCCTGCCCAGTGAAGAGGTTGAAGCTACTTTGTTGAATGTTTAAGGCAAAGATAGATTTTTGAAAGGTAAAGGAATTAAGGGTTTATGGTAAACAGGCAGGTAAGTGGAGCTGAGTCCACAAAAAGATCAGCCATGATCTTATTGAATACAGCAGGCTCGATGGGCCAGATGGCCTACTCCTGCTCCTATTTCTTATGTTCCTCATTGGAATAATGTTTACTGTGAATCATAAATGAGTTTCCTAAAGGTCTGTATGTCATTGTTCCTTAACTGTCATTATCGGCTAAGCTCGTTTCCCAGCCCAATGCAATTATCTTTAGTTAAGTGCTGCAACATTGTTTCCAACCCAAGTTTCTCACTCAAACTGAATTCTATCCTTTATGATCACTGGGTTTTAATCAAGTGTCCCGTGAGAACCGTTCAGATGTGCCATGAAATTTTGCACAAAGGCAATGAAAATCACCAAAACAAAAAGGCCTAAAGGCTTCAGGTTCAATTCTGGGTTTAGGCAGCAAATGCATTTTAATTACTGATGGTAGTTAAAAGATTAAAAAAATGGGGAAACAAAATGTCATGGTGATCTTGGTGGTGACAAATTTGCTCAGTGTGTGCCATTGCACTACTAGCTATATGAAGTAAAATAAGGGGTGATCAGGTTCAAGTCCCACCTGCTCCAGAGCGTGTAGGAACAACTCTGCACAGGTTGAATCTTTTAAAACAAAAAACAGGTGCCCAGGGTGGGACTAGTCTGTGTACGCTATGAGTAGTGGCTCTAGTTTGGCATCCAGCCATAAACGACGCTCCTTTCCAGTCAGATTTCCCGAGTTATTAGACACGGCAACATGGTTGACTCGGAACCTGCCCTAACTAGCCACTCTGATTCAAGGGATGGACAATAGACATTGTCCTTGCAAGCAACACCTCCCTCTGTGAATTAATTATCCATTATTCACTTGTGGGATGTGGGCATCATGTTTTTTGAACTAATGCCCTGTTGGATTCCTTGACACTGTGAAGGGCAACCTCATTCAGAAAATGAAAAGTGAGCCATCTGCACTTCATTGCACTTGCCAGTTAGAGTGGAACTGTGAAAATGTGAATAAAGTTACTAGGAGAAGGTGCTAAAGATAGCTTTTATTGTGAAGATCAGTACTATCCATAGAAAACACAAAATTTCTGGATGAATAAAGAACAAGATTCTACTGTGTTTGCTCTCTATTACACCATCATTACTAACCAGTACAGACCCACTAGGCTATATTTAGTTAACTCATTGGTTGTCCCATAATTTTACAGGTAATACAAATGGAAATGTTAACAATTTGCAACGGTATGCTTGATGCTTGTTTGTACCATAACCAGATGAGGTTATGGTATTTTTTTTCCACTAAATCGCTTCATGTACTTACAACTGTTTTTAAACAGATGGAGACTACAATGACCTTTTCGATGACTCCCATCTAATTCCACTGAAGCAGAGGTTACAGGGTGCTCCACGTTCACAGCTCGACACCGCAAGCAGGGACTCTGTACAGCAGAGAGATCAGTGTGTCGATGAAGGGAGCATTAGTAAACACCCCATCTACGTCAATACAGAATTCCTAGAGTGCGAAGAGTCAAACGATGATGATGAAGAAGAAGAGGATGAAGAGGTTGCAATAACTTACCCAGAAAGTAAGCTGAATTCTATGCAGAAGGGATCATTCCCTGATCTTGCAGTACACTGTTCTGAAGAAGAAAAAGCAGGCGAGACCGAATCACCAGAGTGGGATATGTTTTTCAAAGCGGAATCGGTTTTGATATCTGAAACTGATGAGGATTCCGAGCCTCCGAGGGAACGAGAGGTTGGTTTGCAATCACCAAAACTCTTCAGCGATTCTGAGGATGGAGACTGCATCCATCTTCCCTCTCAAACATCATCCCAATCGACGCACATATCTGAACAAGGAAGTCAGGGCAGCCTGTTTGGTGAGTTAAATTACATTCCAGAAAATAAAATGGTCTCTGTGAAATTCACCAAGGATAAACCTCCATTCAGCACAGCTCTGGACATTGAGAAAAGCAACAATAACTGGGATCTTCAGCAACATCATGAATTTCATCCAGATAACTGCCACCACGATCCTACTGGTGCCCTGCTAAATGTCACTGATCATTCAAATGGTAGCCAGAAGCGGGAGAGAGAACACAATTCAATTCCCAGTTTCAAGTCTGGCTCACAGACATCCTCAGACTTTGAAATACCTTCAACCCCAGACTCTGACCTGCCACAGCCAGAGGAACTGAACATCCTTTACAATAAGTTAGCTGCTGGCAAAACCATAAATGTCAAAGTACAAACAGATAAGTGGTAGTAAATCCTAGTGATATAATTGTGGGTATGTCCCAGTGTGGGAGATGAGAAGCTTGAAACTCCAGTTCATGGTCAGATTTTCTTCCTGCAACTACTGACCAATGGGGGAAGTAACAAGGATTCTTGTAAGTTACATACACTTTCAAACTTTTTGTATTTATTCAGCAAATTTGTTCTGCACCAGGGAACTGGGTGCAATCATTTCAGCTGCCTGTTCTATGTTCCAGCCAGTTCCTGGAATGTATTTTTGTTACTGGTAAGACGAGCCTGCATTACCTGTCCTGGATTTGCCGCCTTGTTGAGGGGGTGGTAAAGAACTGTGTTCTTGAAAACTGAGACACTGAAGTCATGTTCAAGCAAGATCCAGGCCAGGGAACGTCAGGGGGACTGCCTCAGCTGAAGGCCAGTAGTTGGGGTGGGGGGCGTAGGGGCCTGAAGAGAGAGTGGGGCCACACTATTCTCTCCGTTATCCTTTTAGTCAAGATCAATAATTGCAAGTCCAGTGGTTGTGATGGAATTTGGAATCACTGAATGTTTGATCCAATAATCACTGTACTATTTATTCCCAGTGATGTAAAAATCAGCAATGGATCAAGTTGAAACATTGACATTTATTCATTCTTTGAGCAAACATGTCATACAGCACCAGTTTTCAATTCACAGCTCAGTACAAAGAGGTATACAAGACTTGAAACAATCCTACAAAAGTAAAGAAAAATATATCAATTTCAACTTTATTTTCTTGATAGCCTAAAGCCATAGGGTCATCCACCAATTTCCCCTTTTGTTAAATAGGAGTCTCCACCTTTTAATAAAAAAACTCTTTAATTTAACAAGTAGATTGATTTTAAAATGTTGCATCATTGCACCAAAACACGACACTCGAGCAGCTTTCAGTTCAAAGGGGTGACTGTTCATTTGGGCTGAAGTGCAGTATATCTTGTGTGCACTGAAGAACTGCTTTAATAACACCTCAAACTTCATTCAGCTCATATCTGATGTAAGTGATGCAGCATTACTGAGCACAATTACCACTGCTTAATGGGAATCGGGGAAACAACTTTACCCATCCCACTGAGTGATGACTGAGCAAATTAGAGTTCCATTTTAAAAATCAGGTTAAAAAAGTTGAACTGCATTGACTGAAGCCACCTTTAAACTTGCATTCTCACACCACACTCAGTTGCCTTCACTGCATACCTTGGACTATACTATAGCTAGATTACTGTGAATCACTGTTTCATCACCAATAGGACTGCTGCTGAGCTTACACCAAGAACAAGGACTTATAAATTTCTGGCTGGAATTTTTAAACAATTGTCACTCGGGTTGTCACTCAAACTGAATCTGGAACTTGCTTTTATCTGCTCACAATATAATGCCTCTTTGATGTTCCATGTTTTAATCAAATTCAAGCAGCAAACTTAATATTATTACTGTTTTAAGGAGAGCACTCCCCCAAGCGCAATAGTTATGACTTAAAGCATGTTTAAAAAAAAAGCACAATAAAAAAACCTCTAAAGACACTCATTTCAAAATCTTTGGATGAAATCTCACCAAAGTGACAGTACCTTTGCAGATTTTTCCTAAATTGTATTTAGAATACTAAACCTTAGAGGCAGCACAGAAACATGAGCTGGGAAAAGAAAGTAACACCAGCTGTGATCACTGCTCAAATAATAGGTCCATTTTCTTAAAAGGAAATCTACAACTGTATTAAAATAAGAAGGGTTCCAGAGTCACACTGGCCTCAAAACTATAACACATCTCTTCTCCACAGATGCTGTCTGCCTGAAGTTTCTCTAACGCTGTTTGTTTATGTTTCTGACTGCCTACCACTCTCAGGGATTTTATGACTAATGTTTAATAGTGCCCGAATGTTTAGCAGAAAATATTCAAATATCCATAAAGGTACTGTTAAAGGTTTAAGATGAGACAACCTCAAAATACACATTTAAAACAAGCTCTCAAAAAGATCATAAAGGACTTGGTCTTGCTTAATTTTGGGCTGTAACCTTACAAGTTATTAATGTAAATTATCCCATTATTATGGCTATCCTTCATCCAAAATGTACACACTCTCGTTGCTTACTTTGAGTCTGAAATGCTCACTCTCCTTAATACAAGTTACTAAATAACTAGGCATAATCAACACATCTTTGATCTCAATAGATTTGTCATTCATTGTAGCACAAACATTACACTGAAGCCACTTCAGAGGATATTAGCTTCACTATGTACAGGAGGGAAATGTGGAGAATCTTAGCTGATACATCTGGAATATAGAATACATGTCCGAACAAGAGCTAAATTCACTCAATTGAAACCCAAAGAATAAATCCTCTGGAGAAAGGTGGGAGGACATTTCTGAATCAAATTATCCTTTTAAAAAAATGAAATGGGTAGAGAGTGCTCTGCTAAAACAGGGTGTGCTGCACTAAGAGCATTGTAACAGTGTTGGTCAGTGACCACTTGTATCCAGGTTACAAATAGTATCAATGATTTGATGCAAAAGGCAAACAATTATTTCTCCCAGGGAAGCTGTCCCACAGATCTGCATCTCCACCAAGTGTAAGTAGCAACAAGGTCACCACATAGCTGCTGCTTATTTCAACTTTCCCAAGGGTCATCACCCAAAAGCTTTGATGGAATCAGGATAAGAGGGAAAAAAAACACATTTCTACCTAAAAACAAAAAAAGACACAATTTTCTTCTTTGCGACTATATCAGTTCATATATCCTCTGCAGGATAGGGATCCACACTTGCATTCCATCCTGGGCTGCCTTTTGGGTGGGCTGTTTACTTCAGAGGTTTCAGTAATGGATACATCACCCGAACCTACCAAAACCAATTGTGTAATTACACTAATGTCAGTAAACAGAAAAAAACTCAACAATAACAATTATGTCATTCAAAGATATGGTACAAGGTTGCACAACTCCCAGATGCAGAGAGATCTGGATGAGCGAGTGCTCGAATGCAGTTAGTATGCAGAGACAGCGAGTAACTGGGAAAACAAGTAATGTTTTATTGTAAGGGGCAGGGAATGCAAGAGTAGGGAGATTATGCTTCAGGTATACAGGGCATCAGTGAGACCACATCTGCAGTACTGTAAACGGGACTAGTCATCGTACTTACCGAAGGATGTTGATGCATTGAAAATAGTTCAGAGAAGGTTTACTAGACTAATATCTGGAACAAGCAGTTGCCTTATGAGGAAAGGCTAGACAGGCTGGGCCTGTATCCCCTGGAGTTTAAAACAATCAGAGGTGACTTAATTGCAACACGTAAGATCCCGAGGGGACTTGACCCGGTGATGTTGAAAAGATGTTTCCTCCTGTGTGTGAATCTAGAACTAGGGATCACTGCTCAAAGATAAGGAGATGCCCATTTAAGATGGAAATGAGGAAACATTTTCTCTGAGGGTTATGAATCTTTGGAATTCCCTTCCTGAAAAGGCAGTGGATGTAGAATCTTTAAATAGTTTGAAGGCAGAGGTAGAGAGATTCTGAGATTCTTTATGACTCAGAGGATGGATGATTATTGGGAATAAGCAGGAATGTACAGTGGAGGTTAAAAATCAGATCAGCCATGATCTTATTGAATGGGAAAGCAGGCTTGAAGGGCCGAGTGGCCTATTCTCATTTGATGTAAATAAGAACCCAATTTTAAGGGCATTTTCCTTGTGAGAAAGGAATTTGGGTTCTCAATACAATTCGTACTAAGATGTGACAGCAAAATCAACACTAAGTTGGAAGACATGCTCAAAAGAGATACAAGGCTTCCTCTCAATGGAAATTTCAACAGTGGGACTTGTTCTTTTTGCTGTTTTATTCACATTGTCTGTGCCCTCCATTTAAGTCTCCGGATTCTTTGTTTTAAACCAAGTTAAGGGATGTAAGCGCATCTGGATGTGGCACTTGACAAATGACCCAGAGATCGCAAATTCAAAAATCCCATCTCAGCAAAGTCGTAGGCTGAAACTGACAACTGATCATAATGACGAGTGGCCACATACATTACCGTTAGTCAAAACAGACCACCTTCACAGGAAAAAGGAAACTCCATCTTTCCCTGTAGTCTACATGTTGATTGACCAACACCTTAACCCACTCAAAACCCTTTGAAAAACCAATGGCTGTGATTTTAAAGGTGGCTTTTGTTCAGCCTTACACTGGAAAGAGGGCCATCCTGCCTCCATTGTGATTCAGGTAAATACAACAGTGGACGATATAAGACGTACCTTTCATCTGATAGTCAAAGGTAAGTTCTTCCCCAGCTTTTATAGAACGTGTTGAGAATAGTGCAATCCTTGGGAAGCGAGTATCCAAACTATCGATAAAAACATTGTAAACTTGAAGATTGGGATCACACTGCAGAAAAGAAAGTCAGATTTGAATCTATTCCCAAAAAGCCAGGTTAGGCTAACTGGGCCACACCTTCATAAAATCAAACAATTTAATTGCTCAGTATCAAACAAATAACATTCAAATGGAAGAAGTGAATCTATGAAATAAGATACAAGAGCAGAATTGGGATATTGGGCCCATCAAGCCCGTTCTGCCATTCAATCATGGCTGATAGGTTTCTCAACTCCATTCTCCTGTCTTCTCCCTGTAATCTTTGATCCCTTTACTAAAAAAGAACCTACCGACCTCTGTATTTAAGATAGTCAGTGACTTGGCCACCACAGCCCTATGTGGCAATAAGTTCCACAGATTCACTACTCTCTTGCTGAAGAAATTCCTCCTCATCTCAGTTCTAATGGGTTGTCCCTTCACGCGGAGGCTTTGCCCTCAGATCCTAATCTCTCCGAATGGAAACATCTTCTCCCTGTCCACTCTATCCAGTCCTGTCAGTATCCTGTAAGTTTCAGTCAGATTCCTCTCAACATTTAAAACTCCATTGAGTATAGACACAAAGTCCTCAACTGCTCTTCATATGAAGCCCTTCTTCCCAGGATAATTCTCGTAAACCTCCTCTGCTGCTCACAATATTTCAAATGCAGCCTGACCATAGCCTTATACAACCATCGCAGTACGTCCCTGCTCCTGTATTCTAGCCCCCTAACTATATTTGCCTTCCTAACTGCCAACTGAATCTGCAAGTTAACCTTAAGAGAATCCTCAACAAGGACTCCTAAGTTCCTTTGTGCTTCAGTTTTACGAATCCTTTCCCAGTTTAGAAAATAGTCGACACCTCTATTCCGCCTACCAAACTGTATAACTTCACACCTTCCCATGTTGTATTCCATCTGCCATTTCTTTGTCCAGTCTCCTAGCATATCCAAGTCTTTCTGTTGCCTCCCCACTTCCTCAACACTACCTGTCCCTCCACCTATCTTTGTGTCAGCTGCAAACAATCCTCCATCTAGATCCTTAATGTATAACATGAATTGTTGTGATCCTAATATTGACCCCTGCGGATCTCCACTGGTTTTGGATTGTTAGAACAGAAAGAGTTCACGTGAACCATCCAGTCTGCTGATATAACAGGAAATAAATTAATTCCACGCTCAGCTCACTCCCCTACACCAACTGTATTCCTTCTGCAAACAACTCATTTCTTTCTTAGAAGTATTGTTGGATTTTGTTCCAACAACGTTTTGTGATAAAAATTCTAACTACCTTCTGTACAAAGAAGCATTCAAACATTTGTGTTTGCTTATTATTGAAGGAACAAGCAGAACTGGATGTGATAATATGTCCAGCTTCTCCGATTTCTTCTCCTCATAGTTACAAGTCCCTCATTTGTGGTGACATGTTAGTCATTGTAACTCGCATTGCCATTTACAAATCTTCCGATAATGGGAAACAAATCCCATCATTGGATTCCATTTCAGATCACTAGAACGTGTTTTAACCAGGCATGTTACTTTCCCATATTCGACCAAACCCCCTGCTCGAGCTTAAAAGTTGACGATCTTGAGTTACACCTCACCTGCTAGTTCCAAATTTGTTTAAGAGACATGTAGAGAAGTTAAAGCTTTAGTGTTATATTGCGAATGGCTTTAGCCCACATACTGAAGCTTAAACATACATGCCTTGTACCTATTCTGCCCAGATGTCCATCACTGCTGGAAGTATCAAGGCAACTGGCATTGAGTCGATCCAATATCGGTGTCTCAATCTAAACTCACATATTCAATCTCAATTCACTGGTTTATCTCTCAATTTTCTATATATTCTGGACCTTTTTCTGATCTCTCCAAATTATCAAAATCACAATCATGCTGCTGCAAAGGTAGTACCTGCCAAACCGTGTTCCCAAAAGAGTTGACTTTTATGTTGCTAAATTCAATTTTGAATCACCTTCTCACTTGAATAGAAGTCAATATAATAGTTTGAACTGTAACAAGCTGAAAAATTTTGAGCATGCAACCAGTGACATGAGAAAAAAATAAATATTTACAAACAGCAAGATCAACACCAGAACCTATTTCGCTCATTAACTTGCTTCATTTTTCAAAGACTTATTATTTTGAACTTAAATCATTCTTTAGTCTTGACAAGGGTATACTGCCATTGGTAGCAGTTCAGCAAATGTCCACTAGGCTGATAACCAAATCTTAAGGAATTGTCTTATGAGGAGATGTTGAGTAGATTGGCCCTGTACTTACTGGAATTTAGAAGAATGACAGGCGACCTTATTGAAGCATACAAGATTCTTAGGGGGCTTGACAGGGTACATGTGCAGATGTTGTTACCCCCTCTTGACGGAGAGTCTAGGACCAGAGGGCATAACCTCAGAATAAGGAGTCTCCCGATGTAAGATACAGACAAGGAGGAATTTGTTCTCTCAGAGGGTTGTGAAGCTGTGGCATTCTTTATCATAGAGGGGGGGGTCAAGGTTGGGTCATTAAAAGATTATTCAAGGTTGAGATGGCCAGATTTTGAATCAGTAAGGAATTCAAGAGTTTTGGGAAAAGGCAGGAAAGTGAAAGTGAAGATTATCAGATCAGTCATGATCTCATTGAAAGACTGAACAGACTCAAAGGGCAGAGTGGCCAACTTCTGCTTCTTTGTCTTATGGACAATCAAGTATTCAAGAAGATACTTACATTACTGATTTTGAATGAAGGATTTTTTTAAAAAAAAGTTGGAGGCTGTGGAGAGGGTGCTTCCTCTTGTGGAAGAACTGAGAACTAGGTTCACTGTTTCAAAATAAATGGTCGCTCATTGAAGACAGATGAGATTAATTCTCTTCCTTGTTCCCCCCCCAATCCACACACACATGGTTGAGAGCCTTTGGAACCCTTTTCTTCAAAATAATCTTAAACAACTTACTTTAAAAATCTTATTCCTAAAAGATAAATCAGTAAGATGAAATTCAACCAACATTAAAAAGTGTTACAAGAACCCAGCTTTTGTAAAATCAAGCATAATACTTACACTGTGATTCACAAAGTGCGAAATATTTCCAAATCTTGCAGCATCTACAGTGTACTCATCCTCCACGTAATCCAGGTCAAACAAGTACGTGATGCCTTTACTGTCGTAATATTTCCCTCGTCTTTCTGCTTCTTCGCTAGTGATTACCTTCCAATAGAGAAAACTACAGATGCAGTTCACTGTAACACTGAGTGAGGTCTAACAGAGGCTCTCGAAACCTTTCCAATCTATCCTCGTAAATGTAGTTCCTCATCCCTAGAACCGTTATATCAATCTTTTCTCTACTCTCTCCGATGTTTACAGATCCTTCCCAAAGTAGTGCCCACAATTGTGCACAATACCCAGCTGATGCTGAACTAGTGTCTTATACAAGTTCAACATAGCCTTCTTGCTCTTGTACGCTATTCCCTTATTAATAAAATCTAGAATACTACATACTTAATTAACCACCCTTTCAAACTATTCTGCCACCTTCAATTACTTATGCTCTTGTACACTTACGCTCTCTGCTCATGCACCCTTTAAAAGGACTGTACATTTAATTCTATACTTTTTCAGTGTTCTTCCCACCAAAAGGAATCATTTCATATTTCTACGGTTTATGCAGCACCTTCTAAACCGGCAATCACTTCCATCTAGATGGACAACACTACCATCTGCAATTTCCCTTCAAGCCCTCACTATCCTGACTTGGAAATATAATCACTGTTCCTCCAGTATTGCTGGATCGAAATCCTAGAATTCCCTCCTAAACAGCATTTTGGGTCGAGCTACAGCACATGCACTGCGGTGGTTCAAGGCAGCAGCTCACCACCACTTTCTCATTGAGTCATAGATGTCTATAGCACAGAAAAAGACCCTTTGGCCCATCTAGTCTGTACTGGTCAAAACAAGCCCCTAACTATTCTTATCCAGCACATGGCCCATAGACTTGTATGCGTTGGCACTGCAAGTGCACATCTTTATCCTGCTGTAAGTGCACCAGTTTTCATAACACCTGTGAACTTACTGACCAACTCTTCTACATTCAAGTCTAAATCATTTATATAAACCCCAACACTGATCCCTGTGGAACATCACTGGACACAAAAAACACCCTTTGACCATCACACTCTGCTTCCTGCCTTCAGCCAATTCTGGATCAAATTTGCCAAATTTCCTTGGTTCCCATGAGTTCTTATCTTCGCTATCAGTCTCCTGTGTGAGACCTTATCAAAAGCCTTCTAAAGTCTGAGAAGAACACGTCAAATGATCTCTCCTCAACAAAACCATGCTGACCGTTCCTGATTAATCTCTGCACCTCCAAATGCAGATTAATTCTGTCCCTCAGAATTGCTTCCATCACCAAGCCTAGCATGATTGACCTGCAGTTTCCTTGTTTATCCCTTGATCCCTTTTTGAATAATGGTACCACATTGGCTAGCCTCCAGCATCTCGCCTGAAAGGAACTGAAAATTATTGCCCGATAGTTCCTCCGTTCCTTCAACAGCCTGGGATACACTTCATCCGCTCCTGGCGATGTATCTACTTTTAAACCAGCCAGACCACTCAGAACCTCCTGTCTGTCTGTGCTAATTTCTTTAATTGTACCGCAGAATGTCTTTCCCTGCCTTCTATACCTATATCATCCCTCTCACTAGTGAGCACTGATTCAAAGTATTAATTTAGAACCCTATCCACATGCACTGGCTCCATATACAACTACTGTGGTTCTTAAATGTAATTCTAAAATAACTTAGGCTTTTCCTTTATTTTACCAGCTTTATTCTTTCATGGCCCTTTTTGTTCTCCATAAGTCTCCCCTTTTATCTAATCCTGTATATTCCTGGCTATCCAGGGTTCACAGGATTTGTCAGACCAGCCTGTCTTTTTACTGGAAGATGGTGTCCGTGTGCTCTGTTGAATGCATTCCACTGTTTGAACACAGATTTACCTGAAAGAATTTGCTCCCAGTCCACTCTGGCCAAATCATATCTGATCTTATTAAATAAAATCGACCTTCCTCCAGTTTAGGCCAGTTTAGAACTTTGATTTCAAGCCCATTCTTATCCTTTCCCATAAGGATCTTGAATCTGATGGAATTATGATCACTATCTGCAAAATTTTCCCTCACTCTCACTTCTATTTGCCTAGTTCATTATCTAAAATTAGGACCTCCGCTCTCCTGTAGGGCCTTCTACGTACTGATTTAAAAAGCTGTCCTGGATACATTTTAGGAATTTCACTCTCTCTAAGCCTTTTACACAATGTCAACATTAACTAGGGTAGTCAAATCTGAAGCCCCTTACGATCACTACACTGTAACTGTTATAATTTTCTGAAATTTGCCTACATAATCTACTCTTCTATTTCTCCCACACTGTTAGGGAATGTATAATACAATGCTGGGATTGTGACTGCTCTTTTCTAGTTTTTATGTTCTACCCATATGGCTTCATTTGAGGAGCCTCCTTACTGCTGGAATAGATTCCCTGATCAAAACTGCAACACCTTTACCTCCTCCTGTCTCGCCTGAAGACCTTATATCCTAGATCCTATATTCTCAATGTCAACCAAGGATGGACAATACATAGCATCCTAAACAGCGTCCTCATCCCGTGAATGAATAAAGAAAAAGAAGGGAAAAAAAGCAAGATTTCATCCGCCCATTCTACCAATGTTGTCTCAAGTTCTGCATTACTCTCCAACTAGCCACTATGAGACACGACCAATTCTCAGTGGTCTCAATACACACGATCAAAGAAGGACCACAAATTCGATTAGGACAAGCCATCCATAATAGGATGAGCCAAACAGAGACATGCCAGGGAATTCCTGGAGGCCTGGCATTCCAGCCGGAACTCCATTAACAAACACAGTGAACTGGACTCAATATACAAACCACTGAAAAACTGAACCGGAAGTAATACCAATGCTTCACTGGAGGCGCAATGATGATGTTACCCAGCAGGGTGACAAAACGTCTGCAATCAAACGCATTGGCTCGGCGAGCAAGTCTACAGTCATCTTCCCACCCTGTCTACCTGCGACTCCGCTTTCAAGGAACTACACACCTGCACCCCTAGGTCCCTCTGTTCAACAACACTCCCCAGGGCCCTACCATTAACTATGTAAATCCTACCCTGGACTGTATTACCAAAATGCAACACCTCGCACCAAACAACACTTTGAAGCAAAAATTAGACACTTCCATACTCTTCAGCAATCGAAAACAATGCATTTTATTCCATTCCACGAAGGAGGAGTAGGCCAGAGATATTAAGCCAGTATTTGGAAAGAAAGTTTTTGTTAAATTTAAAAACCTAATTCACCCCAATCAACACAACAGACAGGACACTCTTACCAATGGGCCATCCTTTGGCAAGATTTTCCAGAGACTGGATGTGCCTTGTGAGTTTTGTTGGTGTCTCAGTAATGTGCAAAGCTTGTGTTTTATTTGGGGGCTGTGCAGAGTTTGTTTTTACTTTCTGAACCACATTGTTGATGGTTGTTTGTTCCGCCTGGCTTAAACTGTACATTTGCATTTCTATAGCGCCTTCCAAAAAACAGGATGTCCTAAACTGCTATGCAGTCAATGAAGAATTTTTTGGAGCCTACTCATATTCTAATATCCAGCCAACTTGCACATCCCCCTAATATCGAGATAGTGATCCATTTTAAAAATGGATCACTAAGGGATGAACACAGTGCAGGTAATCAGAGAGGGTTCCTGTTTAGAAATAATAAGATCATAAGATGCAAAAATGGGCATAGTCCATTCAGCCCATCAAGTTTACTCTGCCATTCAATGAGATCATGGTTAATCTGATAATCCTCAACACCATTTTCCTGCCTTTTCCCCATAACCCTCAATTCCGTTCCTGATTAAAATACCTGTCTCTCTCAGCCTTAAATATACTTAGTGACCCAGCTTCAACTGCCTTTTGATTCATTCCCCTCAGAGAAGAAATTTCCCCTGAATCTGTCCTAACTGGGCGACCTCTTGTTCTGAGATGATGCCCTCTGATCCTAGACTCTCCCACAATGAAAAGTCACCTCTCTAGATCTACCCAAAGAATCTCATATGTTGCAATAAGGTCGCCTCTCATTCTTCCAAACTCCAATAAGTACAGACCCAACCTATCTCATCTCCTCATAGGACAGTCCCTCCATATCTGGTATCAGCCTAGTATTCTTTCTCTGAGCTGCCTCTGATGCCAGTATATTTTTCCTTAGATAAAAGGGCCTGAAACTGTTCACAGTATTTCTGCTGTGGTCTGACCAATACCTTGCACACTTTTAGAAACTGCTCCTCCCTGTAGCCTGAGCTACAGCTGACAATACCCAGCTCTAGTCAATTTAGTTTATGGGGACAAAGTTAGGAGCTTGGAGGCTTGCACTTTCCTGACTATTCAGTACTACTCCCTACCGACAGGAGCAACATTTGGGAAATGACCCCTAGTTAACACTCATTGCCAGGGATCTCTGCTTCTTCAGATTTGAAGAATTTAGCCATGTCTTCTGTTTTCTTTTTCAGCAAAAATTATTTAAACAATGTCTTTAATGTATTTGAACAACAAAATGCACTTTTCAGGAGCACTATTAAACAGAATTTGACAACAGCTACATGTGGGCACTTTAGGACCAGTGACAAAAGGTAGATGGGGACAGAAAAGTTTTTTGACAGAATTCCAGATCTTGGGAATTCCAGTAGTGAAGGCACTGTTGCCAATGGTGGAACAATGTAAAACCAAAAACAAACAGCCAGAATTGGCTGGAGAAGGTTATAGAGATAGAAAAGGTCAAAGCACTGCACACATCGCTGTATATCACAGGCAAGAATATGAAATATTGAAATTTCATAAAGGATGCAGAGTGTGCCTTTGTAGGTTTCCAAACGGAAAACCGAGAATTTGGAAAACAGGTCAACACCTAGTGCAGAGGTTCTGCCTGCAGACGATGATCAATGGAAAGGGATGGGATGGGTTTCTGCACTGTGGGGATCACTTTGTTTTGTTCTCTCTTTTCAAGATGAGAGTAACCATCATAAATCTCCAGGGTTTGTCATTAGATCGCATTCCCTTAGACCCACTGTCTTGATCTCTTCTCAGTATCCCACCTCATTGAGATCACCTTCTGTATCATGTCAAATGCACCTATTTCTCGATAAAAAACCGTGAGCTGTTTAACTCATTAATTTCCTCACCATTAGAGTGCTACTGTCTCTTTTGCTCTGGTTCCCTTCCCCACACTCCTCTTTGCTTTGCTCATGTAGGACCCTCACCAGTAGGCTGTACATTCTAATAAGAACATAATAAGAACATAAGAGCTAGGAGCAGGAGTAGGCCGTCCGGCCCTTCGAGCCTGCTCCGCCATTCAATAAGATCATGGCTGATCTTTTCGTGGACTCAGATCCACTTACCCGCGTTCTCACCGTATCCCTTAATTCCTTTATTGTTCAAAAAAAATCTACCTTATCTTTAAAAACGTTTACTGAGGTAGCGTCAACTACTCCACTGGGCAAGGAATTCCGTAGATTAACAACCCTCTGGGTGAAGAAGTTCCTTCTCAATTCAGTCCTAAATCTGCTCCCTCTAATCTTGAGGCTATGCCCTCTTGTCCTAGCTTCACCTGCCAGTGGAAACATCCTCTCTACTTCTATCTTATCTATTCCCTTCATAATTTTATATGTTTCTATAAGATCCCCCCTCAATCTTCTGAATTCCAATGAATATAATCCCAATCTACTCAGTCTCTCCTCATAAGCCAAGCCCCTCAACTCCGGAATCAACCTAGTGAACCTCCTTTGCACCCCCTCCAGTGCCAGTACATCCTTTCTCAAGTAAGGAGACCAAAACTGCACACAGTACTCCAGGTGTAATCCTGTTCAACTAAAATGAACTAACCAGTAATTCAACCAGGAATGAACATTCCAGCTCAAAATGTCTTCGCAAGAGTATTCTTGGACTGAATTAAAAATATAATTTTTAAAAAAAGGGAAGCGACGAATATGTGTAGTTGATGAATCACCTGCTTCAAGAACAAACTAAAACCCCAGCAAAAAAAAAACACGTGTGCACAATTGGAAAAGCTATTGCACACTCTTGTGAACTGCCAAGTTCAATTTAAAAGGGGGGTTTAATCATAGGATCGTGGTCGTTTGCTAATGCACTGCACTTTAAGACTAAAAAGAGTTTTTAATTCCCAAAATAGCAAACCCATAACCTTCAGTCATTGCAGCCTTCCCAGTGGTGCTTCCCAGCAAAAACAAAAGGATTAGCGCCAGGAATACGGCAAATACAGTCAATCTGGTCTAACCTTGGGAACGGTCAGAAAAGAGGAAAGCAAGCAGGTTCAATGGCCAAGTAGCCAGCCCCTGTTCCTACGGTCAAAAAGAAGCAAGGAAGGCAGTCGGACAGGGAGGTGCTAACCTTGAGAAGGCATTTACAGTAAAGTGGAGGGGATGGTCTCATGGAACTATCTCTAAACTATTGATCCAAGGACCTGGGTTCAAATCCCACCACGGCAGATAGTGGAATCAGAATTCAATAATAATTTAGAATTTAGAGTCTAATGATGACCATGGAACAACTGTCGATTGTCAGGAAAAACCCCATCTGGTTCACTAATGTCCTTTAGGGAGGGAAACGGCCATCCTTACTCAGACTGGCTTACACACAACTCCAGACCCAAAGCAATGTAGTTGATTCTCAACTGCCTTCTGGGCATTAGGGATGGCAATAAATGGTGGCCTAGCATTCCACAAATAAATAAGTAAAGTATGTAAGTAAAGGTAAGGTAAGGATTGTTGTTAGGAAGTGAAGGAGGAGGAAATGTCATCAATGAATGACTAATACATGCATATGGCATCTCACACTACATTAATAAAGAGGGTAAGAGAATGCATTACGCTGCTATCTACTGGTAAGCACACTGTCCCCAGCAACAATCTATTTCACTTCAAGTCAGGATCTGGGAGTTAATGTTCGTGCAACATGTTAGTCAAGGGAAGAGCCACCACAAAATAAAAACAACATACCTCTCCAACATATTCCATTACAAAACAATTCTTCTTAATATTTTGGAGGGTTTTTATGCCCCAACCTCTTCCATCTGAAGTTCTGAAGATGCAGAGGTCATATAGCGTCCCATTCTGTACCACTCTGTTTGGACATTGAGAACCACAACTGCAGCAAGAATTGCATTCAAAAATGGGCTTGCCTGGTGCAATCTTTAGCTGCCTTCGTGCATTATAAGCAAATGTCGCCCCTGCTTCCTCTGGGCAACATTTCTCCTCCAAACAGTTTAAACACTCACAGCCAACCAAAGGATCACTGTTCAGATTGATTCCACGAGATGGTTTGTACTGATTAATGTAATGGAAGTCCATAGGGGGAGGCTCAAAGTCCACTTCATTTTCCACCAGAATTTTACCTCGATGGTTCTTCTTTCTGTTCAGCTCCTCTTCCCATCTTTTGAGCGCTAATCTTTGTTTGGATTTCCTGATAATATACTCCTCCACTGCAGATTTGTAATCTTTGCAGTTGTTCAACTTCAGTCTCTTTGCTGCTTTCACTTTCTCCAAGAATTTGCTCCTATCATCGTGATACTGCTTCACCAGTCCAACACATCGGAGATTCTTCCTTGGTTCCCAGGTGTTTGTCGATTCAGGCCATCCTTTCCACTTCACCAGATAGTACTCTTTACTCTTAGGAAAGGATAAAAATGGAATTTTTTTTTTTATTAATAAAGTATACTTTGTTATTTTCTTCACTTTTACAAGACTCATAGTTAAAAATTTAGCAATGTCACTTGAACGGTTCAAAACTGTCATTAGAAACATAGAAGACAAGAGTAGGAATAGGCCATTTGGCCCCTCAAGCCTGTTCCATCACTCAATATGATTATGGCTGACCATTGAACTCAATACCATAATCCTGCCCTCCCCCCATATCCCTTGATCTCTTCAGCCACAAGAGCTTTATCTACCTCCTCCTTGAAAATGCATGTTTTGGCCTCAACCACTTTCTGTGGTAGTCCCAGAGCAACTAATCAACATTGATTTCGTCTGCTCATTTGCAGTATCAAAAATGATTAGGTTTACATTGTAAAACCTCACCAATGCATTTCATAGGAGGGTTAGCAAACTCTATTTGACACCAAAACACAGGGCCTGGCATTAGGGCAGTGGTTCAATATTTGGTTTAAAAAAAGGGAGGTAGTTTTAATGGACCATCTTTGAAAAAGATGAGGTAGGGAGATTAAAGGGATAGTATTGGATCTCAGGGCAGAGCCAAATGACAGCTCCCTTCCAGTGATGAAAAGTAGGGGTGTTACTGTGGCCAGAACTGCAAGGGTGCAAGGTTGAGGAAAGAAAGAGATCACAGGAAAAGGAACAAGGCTCACAACATGATTCCTTGGAGGCATTTACAAAGTAGATTACAGTTTTAAAATTGAGGTATTGCTTAAACAGAGGATGATGGGTGAATGGGCCTTGCTCCGAGTCAGGCCGTAGACAGTGGGGTGAGTAAATTACTGCAGATGCTGGAATCTCTACTGAAAATGTGCTAGAAATCACAGCGGGCCAAGCAGCATCCATGGAGAGAAAGCAAGCTAATGTCTCAAATCTAGGTGATTCTTCATTAGAAATGAAGAGTCATCTAGGCTCGAAATGTTAGCTTGCTTTCTCTCCATGGATGCTGCCTGGCCCGCTGTGATCTCTAGCACTTTTTGCGTTCATAGATAGGTAGGGGTTTGGAGGACCGCAGGTTTAGAGGGGTCAGGCTATGGGAAGCTGGACAGAGATGCACTGGATTAGTCAGGTCTTGAGGTAACAAAGCCACAATGAAGGGTTGCAGCAGATGAGCTGGAGACGACAGAAAGCCAGCGATGTTATCTGGGTAGGAATAGGCTATCTCAGAGATGGAAATATCAGCAGGTCAGGCAACATCAGTGGAGAGAAACTCAGTAAATGTTTCAGATAAATGACCTTTCATCAGAACCCCGTTATATTGGCACTTCATCAGTTTCATTGACTTAATCATGGAGCTGAAACATTAACTGGCAGGGTCAGGAAAAGCAAAGTTGGTGCTTATGACAAGTTTCAGCTAAGCGAGCAAACAAATTAATAAACCTTGAAAATAAACAGCACAGCCAGAAAATATTTGTTCAATTTTTCTGGAAAATTAACACTCAGGTTAATTGTGAAGTGACATTTTGCTATTATAAAATTAATTATACTGAAAATGTAGAAATAAAATCTTAAGAATTGTTAAAATAAATCCTGCATATATTGTCACATTTATCATTGTTGATCAGCCGTTATCAATTAAATGTGAGCTTAAAGTCCAATTCACATTATAGGATTAGACATTCTTCAAATGACCAGTGCATAAATGAGATGCAGTGAGTTACAAAATCCAAAATGATGAAATGTCAGTTTCTGCAGAGGCAGTATTTGACAAACTGTTCTGAGCCTGTGTCGCACGAGGTGAAAACAGCACAAAGACTTTCACTTTTTTGAGAAATGACAGGTACGTACTGAACCAACCTTTACTTTCTTGTACCCACACAGATACTCCACTTCATACTCTTCAAGATTTCTTTTGTCAATTCCAAGGGCAGGGCAGGTCAGTTTCTCGACTCGACACAGTTCCTGGAGAATCTCGAGTGATGCTAAACAGGGCACACACCACCCTGAGATAACACAGAGGGTAGAATGTTAGTCTGGGTGGGTGAGAAGGGGGCAGAGGGCAAAGTGCAGAATTTAAAAAGAGATCACAACGATATGATTTGTTGTATAACCAGAGGGTTAGCACCTCCATAATCTACACCCTAAAATGATGGATTACACACACACAATCTAGCAGCAGGAGTAGGCCATTCAGCCCTTTGAGCTTGCTCTGCCATTCAATGATTGTTGCTAATCCTGTATCTCAAATGCCAGATTCCCCCTTTCTCTACATACCCCTTGATACCTTAATACCAAAATCTCTTTCTTGAATGTATTCAGTGACAAGTTCTCCACAGCCTTCTGTGGTAGAGAATTCCAAGATTCAATACCCTTTGAGTGAAGAAATTGATCCTCACCTCGATCATAAATGGTCTGCCCTGTATCCTGAGACCAGCCCCCCATCCCCCACAACCCAGGGGAAACATCTTGCCTGCATATTGTCTGTCCAGCCCTGTTAGAATGTTATACGTTTCAATCCGATCCCCTCTCATCCTTTTAAACTCCAGTGAGTGCAGGCCCAGTCCAATCAGTCTCTCCTCATAAGACAGTCCTGCCATCCCCAGTAACAGCCTAGTGAACCTCCACTGCTCCCCCTCTGTGGAGATCAAATCCTTTCTTAACTAGAGGCGCCAAACCTGCACACAATACTCTGGGTGTGGTTGCACCAAGGCTCCTTATAACCACAGCCAATAGCTCCTTACGTGATGTTCAAAGCGCTCCCTTGAGGGCACAACCTAATCCAGATTTGGAAGTCAAATCCATAACCTTAATTACACAGCTGCCAATTTTTTTCCCCCCAGTATAAACGATTCCACACATTGCTTTACATTTTACTGTTTTTCTGAATTTATTCATTTTTAAAAGTTTCCTGCTGAAGCACTAACAATTCACCTTCAGCCCAGCAAACATTATAAACTAATCTTTATCACCTTCCAGGAAATGGAGCTGATTAATAATTCTTTTCACTCTGCCACCTTGACATTTGTGCTACATTTTCAAAAGACTTTTACAGTTCCAAGTTCTACTTCACAAAAACCACAACTACGACAGAAACCTTGATAAAAGAAAAGGACTCCTTATTATCTCCCCCCCAACTCCACCCAACTCAAAATACAAAACCATTCAGTACAGAACCCAAGTTTAAAATGTGTTAGCTGTTTAATTCCATCCGTTATCTTTTATATCCAGTGTAGTTTTAAAACACCAATGTTAACCACAATACACAGCTACCTGCAACAGATTACAACAGACATGCATTTGTGTGGCCACCACCCTCACACATCATGATCCTAAAATGAAAGTAGACATTACGAACAGGAGTAGGCCTTTGAGCTCCTGCCATTCAATAAGATCATGGCTGACCTGATCACTCAACATTCCTGCCTACACCCCTTGCTCATTAAGAATCTCTCTACCTCAGCCTTAGAAATATTCGAAGACTCTGCTTCCACTTTTGAGGAAGAGAACTCCAAGATACTTAACACACTGCAAGATAATTTTTCTCATCTGTCTCAACTGGGTGACTCCCAGTTCTAGAACGTCCCACAAGCAAAGCATCAAGAACCCTCAGGATCTTCTGCAGTAACTAAAACTAGGGGCATGCATTTAAAGTGAGAGGGGAAAGTTCAAAGGTGATGTGAGGGGCAAGTTTTTTTTAAAACACAGAGAGCAGTAGGAGTCTGGAATGTGCTGCCAGGGGTGGTGATGGAGGCTGATATGATGGGGGTATTTAAGTAATTTTAGATAAGCAAATGAATATGCAAGGAACGGAGGGATATGGACCAAGGGCAGGTAGAAGGGATTAGTTTCGTTTGGCGCCATGTTCAGCACAACATCGTGGGCTGAAGGGCCTGTTCCTGTACTATATTGTTCTATGTTCTAATCAAGCTGTCTCTTACTCTCAAACATCAGCAGATACAAGCCTAGCCTCTCCAGCCATTCCTTTGACAATGTTCTCATTCCAGCTATTCATCTAGCAAACCTCCTCTGAGCTGCCTTCATCACATTTACATCCTTCCTTAAATAAGGGGACCAATGCTGTACATAGTAATCTAGCAATAATCTCATCAGTGCCCTGTATGATTGTAACATCCTCCCTGCTTTCAGTATTCAATTCCTCTCGAAATAAACAATATGCTATTAGCTTTCCTGATTACTTGCTGTACCTGCACACTAACTTTCTGATTTGTGCACTAGGACACCCAGATCCCTCTGCATCTCAGCTCTGTCACTGCTTACCATTTAGATGCTAAATATTCTTTGTGCATTTTGGCAAGAACAATTTCACCTCCTCCCACATTAAACTCCAATTGCTAGCTGTTTAACCACTCACATAAAATATTTACATCCTTTTGTAGTCTCATGTCTTCTTCAGAACTTCCTTGCCTGTCATCTTTGTGCCAACAGAGAGGCCCCAGCACTAATCTTGTGGCACACAACTTATTAAATCTTGCCAGCAAGAAAATGGCCCATTTATGCCTGCTGTCCCTTTCCTGTTAGATTGCCAATTGCAAACAGGGAGCAATGATAACAGACAAGTCAAGCATTTCACAAGTCCGTTGAACCAACCTAAGAAGTACCCAAAGAAATGTAGCTTAGACATACACCAATTAGATTAATATTTTGTGTGTACACCTCAGATCTATTGGGGTCTTGGCAATTATTGTGTTAGATAGAGGGGTACACCAAATTGTAAAAAAAAGTGAAATATTTACTAAAACAATTTTAGCATCCACATTGACAACATGTAGATTTTTCCAAAGTAAAAGGCAAATAATGTTTTCCAGGGTGGACTGTTGTAGACAAATGTTTCATGTTTGAATGCAAAGTTACAAACAATGACAACCAGAATAAATTCAATCTAGTCATTCAGTCCCAACTACCTACAACATGGTTTAATGCTACATCCATGCTTTATATTGTAATCATAATATTGGACACTTTTAATATTTGCATATTAATGTTTTTAAAAAAAAGGTTTGAATCAGTTACAAACTTTAGAAAGCGTGTCAAACTCTTTGTGTGGATACAGAAGTTCACTAGAATGTCAACTGGGATGAGAGTCATCAGATACATGGAGAAACTGGATTTAAGACCATAAGATACAAGAGTAGAAGTAGGCCATCCAGCCCATTGAGTCTGCTGGGCCGTTCAAAGGGATCATGGCTGATCAGATAATCCTTAACATCACTTTTCCTGCCTTTTTCCCTTAAACCTTGATTCCCTTACTGGTTAAAAATCTGTCTCCCTCAGCCTTCACTAGGACCAGCACAAACGTTTGTTACTATTCTCCTATTCAAATACTTCCATAAACTCTTACTAACTTTTTTACTGCTCTCCCTGTACAAGAGGCTAGTGGTAAACTTCAGACACATATCCAAGCATCTTCAGAACTTAGAACAAGGATGAAAAACTGTTACCATTAATAGGAAATTTGGTAAACACAGGATGCACCTAAAATAATTAGGAAAACAACCATAGGTAGATGTGGATATTTTCTAAGCAGGATCTGATATTTTTTCTACTTCTGATCAGGAACAGGCTGCTTGAAATGGTGGTGGATGCAGATAAAGCAGGAATTTTTTTTAAACATGAATTTGATATCCATTTTGATGAGGAAAGATTTGCAAAGCTGTGCAGAAAGACCAAGCGGAGAGGGTTAATCATTTAACATTTTCAAAAAAAAAGAATGATGGGCCAAATGGCCTCCTCATTGGCTTCCCAGATTCTATGCTTTCACAACCAGTTTTGGCAAAATATTCCACATTCTAAAGTAATTTTAGTCAAACAAAAGCTAACCTCCCCTTGTATACTTCCAGCAGTTTGCCTAAGGCTTTATTTCATAGTCATTAACTCACCAGAAAGTTAAAGTTAAGCTTCAGTTAAGCTGTGCAAAATTAAATCTCTCTTCGACCTCACCCCATTTCCATGAATAGGTTGGGTTTAACTGTAAGACATGCCCAAAATCTACAATAAGTGACTAAAGCAGGATGAGGAGACATTTCTTCACCCAGAGCGGGGGAGTGTGGGGATCTCACTGCCACAGAAAGCAGCTGAGACCCAAGCATTGACTGTTTCCCAGGTGTTGGATATAGCCCAAGAATTAAAGAGAACAAAGGGTATGGGGGGGAAAGGGGAGCGAGTTGGATGACCAGCCACAATCATTCTGAATGGCACAGCCAACTCAAAGGGCCGAAAGGCCTACTCCTGCTTTTGATGTTTGTGTCCAATAGGCACATGGGTCCCAAAAAGCATTAAAGCCACTTTCCCAAATCTTTATGCATACTGCTACAGATGCAAACAGATCTTTAATCCAATTAAGTATTTTTCCTTGAGAAAATGGCCTCGAAAGCACATCTTTCCAAAACTTCAGACCTACAAAATTCAAATTAAGTACCAAATACGAAGTTCAATCAGAAACAGTAAAGTTAATCAGGCTTCAAGAACCATATATCCAAGACTGTACACACGTTTCCAACAGGGCAATTATAACATTCTGCAATCTCCTCCAGCCCCGCAACTGTGCCAAGATATCAACACTCAGCTAATTCGGAACCTCTTATGCATCCCCAAATTTAATCGTTTGGTGGCCATGTCTGCAGTTAGCCCCAGCATCTGGAATTCCCTCCATACACCTTTCCCTCCTTCTTTAAAACACTCCTTAAAATCTGAAAGTGCTGGAAAAACTCAGCAGGTCTGGCAACATCTGTGGAGAGTAAAACAGAGTTAACATTTAAGTTCAGTGACCCTTTGAGAGAAGTGAAAATGAGTCACTGGACTCAAAACACAAACTGTTTCTCTCTGCACAGATGCTGCTGGACCTGCTGAGTTTCTCCAGCATCTTCTATTTTTTGTTTCAGATTTCCAGCAACTGCAGCTCTTTGTATTTATTTTATTCATTAAAACCCACTGCTTGGCCATCTGATATACCCTTCTATGGCTCAGTGTTAACCTTGGATTCTAATGTC